AACATGAAGTCAGCAGGGGGTGTCAGTCCAAGGGGATTTTGACCAGATGATGAACCTCTGGTGTTATATGCCTGAGCAGAGTGACTTCATCAAATGGACTAGGCACAATGCACGTGAGGGGGAGTCTATGGGCTGAACTTATCATAACCCCTATGGCTCAGTTATTGTGAAGGTCTGACAGAGGTTCACTCCTTCTGGTGAGTTCTCTTTGGGACCACACATGGAGGAGGGAACAAGGATGAAAGCAAAGGGATGAAGCTGAGTTGCAAGCTATCAAAAAACTGAGGATACAAGGTAAAGTACATGGGATTATATACTCCTAAGTATGAGTACCATACCAGTCACAACAGGATGCATTGCAATGCATATCTGCAGTAATCAACAAAGACATCAGTCAAATAGATAAGTCAGAACAAGTCATACAGTGTCAGATGATGGGGATAGGCAAGGAAACAAAGGCTATACCAGCTGTGCAATCAATGCACAGCGAGGAGCCAGACACCAGAGCAAGAAAGTAACATATAAGCAACATACATGAGTCAAAAAGGAGGAACATAACAAGTTGTCCATCAAAGAGGGCAGTGGAACACCAGATCAAGTGGGAGGTGCAGTCTCAACAGGTATTGGAAATACCTTGACAGCTGGAGATCTGAACAGGCCTCACAGCATACAGGCCCCTAGGATGGTGACAATTAAGAGAGATGTGACAAGGCACATGATGCATGTGACTGTGAGAAGTTGACAAGGAAAGACCCCTGACACAGGCATAACATCTGCAAGGGAAAAACTATGCAGAAAATTCATCAGATCACCACATACAGCCAAGTAGGATCCTACTTACCAGAGCACAAGTCTTGAGCAGTTAAAAACAAAAGTCATTATCAACATCATGGTGAGCAGGAACCCCATCATCAAGACATCATACATACCAAGCAGAATGAGTCTCAAAGAAATAAATGGTGCAGACCTTGATGCAGATAAAGCATCAATAGCAGTGAAGGGGGATGGGAACATTCCTTGCCTGGCAGTGGGAGTGTCAGTGAATAACACATTGCTATCAACAAAAAAAAAAGCAGCAAGCACAAAGCATGAATTAAGGTTCAGTCACAGGCAACATTCCAAATCATCGAATTGATTCAGCCTGCTTTATGACATGGTACATACTTGTACTAAACAAATTTGGACAGAAAAAAAAAGTATATGTGGTGGAGGATGTCAGACAAAGGTAAAAATGTGGGGGAGGGATGGTTGATGCCCAAGATAATCAAATGCAGTTTGGATGTAGAATTCACAAGCCAAGATGAAGGCTTTGTATGTTGCTTGGTTGCCAGAGCCATCCAGCTTGATTGGGGACTTCAAACAAAAGGGCACTCCTGGCCATGCAGATAGCAACTGACAGAACTTGTTCAGATAGGGCAATGCCACCTCCATCTCACTAGCAGTCAACCCCAAATCACATGGCTCCTGAGGAAGAGGTGCTGACCAACTTGAAAGACCACATCCACCAAGGAAGATAGACCAAAGAAGTGATTGGCATATATACTTATCTAGGCTATTGGGCCAAAGCTGTGGGACAAGGGCCTGATTGAGTGTGCGAAGTTCATAGTGGAAGTTGAGTTCATAGAGTTCCCATAGAAGGAAACATGTGAAATGAAGGGGTAGGTCTGAAAGGCTCAAAGCCTGGACCTGCACAAGATAAGTATGAAGAACAGATCTAAATAGGATGAAATGGTAACCTGCATTCCCCTCCACTCAATCTCTTCCAACATATGAACAGGATCATCATGAGCTGCTTGAATGATGTCCCCCAAAATCACCTGAACCACCAACTTCATGGATGCACTCTGGGTGCCAGAGGGCAAGCACTCTGTGTCAGTACCATTGAGGAAGTCCCTCCACATCTGAGGGGAAGGGTTCTTCTGCAGAGACCAAATGTCAACTCAATTCATCCAAGCCAGATGAGCAGAGAGCCAATTCAACATGTACATCTTCTTTCATTCAGGGGTGGTCACATTGACCAACAGCATGGGCTTCAGAAAGCAATAACCAGGGTCCACAATGCCCAACTTGACTCTGGACATATCCTTTGAAGCTTTCCTCCAAGCCAATGCAAACAGACTGTGGGGCTTGGGAATTTCTGGAAGATCAGGTTCTTCCCACCTCACCAAGTCCCCACCACCTGATTGTTTGGGGTGCAAAGCTACAATTTGGTCAGGAATGAGCAGAAAGAAAACCCAGATACATACCTCTGGAGGGGCCTGCAGTTGCTTGTTCCCTGGCAGCCCTTGTCTGCTTTTTCATTGATTGCTTTCCAGTGCTTGAAGATGGGTTTGACAAGGATGTGGCAAATGATTCTTGCAGGGGCTCTGGTTGCTCTGCAAATGTACCCTCATAGTCCCTGCAAGTGTGAATGTGACACAGGATACTGCCAGGACCACAGTAGATTGATGGGAATGGCTTAGCTACCCCTTTTTCTGAATACATAGCTTTCACTATGTCTTCAGGGCACATCAATCTCACAGGCTCCTTGATATTCATATCAGGGGAGATGTATGCCTCAGTATGCATGAGCCAGACTGGCACCCCAGCAAAATATAGTGCTTCACAAGTGGCAGTATCCTTTGTGAAGCACCCCATCCAGGTGGGGTTTGTGTGTACAGGTTTTGAGTGGGGAGACAAAAGAAGCAGGTAGAGGATCTCAATGTATTCAAGCAAAGCATAAATGTCAAGCAGCTTGTGCTGAAGCTGGGAAACAAAAATGATGAGGTCTTGGAATAAAAGGGGGTGATGCCACAAGTGCAAAACCTCATGTTGAACCAGCTGCACTAGTTGGGACATAAGGTCTTGACCCACAGGTTGATTCAGAAGCAAGAATGTGATAGAAAGTGATAGGGTAGACTGCTGTCAGCCTACAAATGGATGGATGGAAACTTAATTCAATGTCCTGAGCTGCACTGAGCTCAGGGAGGGCTTGGAGCAAAGTATATTGATGATAGACAAGGATAAGTGAAGTAGATGATAGTTAGACCTTTAATAAAGTCTCAACTATCAAAGCTGCTGAATGAATTACTGAGTGATGAGAAAATGTGAGCAAGAGGGGCTCTCTGATGTCTTCTTTTTTTTTTGCTATCTAAGTACAGTGATTTATATACAGTACAGGGGTGTTGCCTATGGAAAACAAGGTGCAAACACTTGGTAAGTGATTGGTAACTGATGGGTAAGGAATGTAAGCAATGGGTAATCATCTTGGTAAGCATTGGTAAGGATAAGTAGGCCAAAAGGTGAAGAATCAGTAAGCAAGGTCAAAAGATTGGTAAGTATTGGCAATAGGTGAGTCAAAGACAGTCAGAATGTCAAAGTATGAGTCAAGTAATGTCAGGAACTGGGAAAGTGCACTGAAATTGCATTAGGGGGAGGCTGTGCATGTCACATCTTGAAGAGACTGCTTCTAGGCCAAGGTGGGATGACAGAGAGGCAGCACTAATCTAATGCCAATATAGTACATCCAAAAGTGGACAGGGCAAGTCAGACGTCAACAGGGGTCAAGCTTTGGGGGTCAGTGGGGTGACAGGAGCATAGGGGATCACAACCTTCCCCCCCAAACCATCCTCTTAGTGAAGCAAATAAAAACTTCATGAATGAGGCTCTGTTGGAAGAGAGGATGAAGGGGGAGTGTCTTCTGTTGTATCTTGCAACAAGGAGGCAAGATGTGCATCATACTCATCATGGATGCAATCAGGGAGAGTGGAGAACAGTAGATTATACTGTAGCTGTTGCAGTCTTGGAAGAATGACAGATGAGACTGGTATGAAGACATTGCAGGGAGTAGGGAGGAAGGATCCATATGCTTCTTGGACTGGGGAGACTGAAACAACCACATAAGACCTTTCCAAGTAAATGACAGACCTGAGGCAACCAAAGAATGTCCTCCTAGAGGTCATACTGACAAAAAGAATGTGCTGTCCAAGCTGGATGGGCTGAGAGGGTGCAGATGAGGGTGGGATGTACCAGGATGCTTCAGGACAGAAGCTGGTAGGAACTCCTGGTAGATATATGTAGCCATGGTCCCTAGCAAAGGGGACAAGTGAAATGATTGACATGGAGGTGGCCATATCAGAAGAATTAGTGAAATGAGTGTCTTTTGGAGGGAGTGCTGTAGAAACATGTGGAGTGCACAAATCCTTTCCAATTTTGGAAGGCAGGATCACATGGCTGAGCACTATAAGCAAGTGTGGGAATGGTGTTGGTATCTGCAGAATTGGTGGAGATATGTTGAAACTAGAATGCCATACATGGGTGCTTAAGAACTTTTATTGGCACTTAACTTGCTTCCTTCCTTTTTCTTTGGCATTGACAACTCATTCTTGTGCAAGGGATGACTGCCAACATTTCTGGCTGTCCTTCTTCACATGAGGGCTATGGTCTTCATCTCCATTCATCAGCTGTATCCATGTCCACCTCACCAAACACCTTTGGTGTGTAACAGCAACCTTAAACACAAACAAACCCTGAGAGAAATCTGTGCTGGCAATTATGATACTGATAACCATCCTTCCACACCCCCTCTCCCTTCTCCATCCTCATCAGAAGAAGAAGAAGGAGCTGCTGATACCAAAGGTGACACTGACAGCTCTGTGACCAGGAGGCATAGGGAAGCCAAAGGGAAATCTCATGCCCTAGCCAACACATCCTCTGAAGATGAGGATGGACCTAGTGACACTGGAGATCTCCCTGATGGCTTGGAGATGACTGGGATGCATAGGAAGCTCAAAGGATGACATTATGCCTTCTGCAAGGTAGTAGTCACACCCTCTACACCTACCCTAGCCAGTGACCTCAGTCAATGCAAGGATGTATCCAGTGCAGAAGCAGGCTTACCATGCTTCAAACCAGGGCAGCTTCCCTTGGAAGCCATATGAAAGGCACAGACACTTGGCATGTGCACCACTCAAGAAGCCCAGGCAATTGCAGATGAGTATGGCAAGACTCTTGGGTCAATCATGGCTGCTGCTGGTCTTACCACAAAGGCAACTCATGTTGAATCTGTGTGGAACATGCATCAGGCTTGGTATGCACATACCAATCCAAAAGCATCTGCAGGTCAGTACATCCTAACTTGTTGCAGTTTTGACTCCACATTGATTCAATTGCAGAGGAAACCAAAGACTACTATAGGCATCACACCAAGCACTATGAGGACCATAAAGATGAGGATAAACATCCTCAACTGTGGGCTGAGATCTGGAAGTATTGGAGTGAGTGTGTCAGTGGGTCCAAAGACATCAGTTCTAAGGTGATGGTGGGCCATGTAATGGCTTGCCATGACTCCTTTACACAAGGGGTGGGTAATACTGTTGTGATTGTTTTCTTCTTGAATAACCTCTTGTACAGGCACAAACTTGGTGCAATATGGAGGGCATACATGTCTTCAGATGTGTAATTTATAGTGGGAGCAATGAAGCTGCATGCCAATCCCAAGGAATTTTTGCTGGATCCTCCCTTCTCATGCAGCTTGCAAGTGAGAGGCAGACTGACATAACACAATTATTAGAATACCTGTCCACAATTATCAAGTATGTATAACATATGCCATGTACAATTGCCCACTGACTTATCTTTAGGTATAAAATCCTTAACTCTGCTGCTTTGGTGCCTCTTCCTGACTTTAATGTGCTGTCACAACCCTGTTATGACCATGCACTGGGATTGAAACCTCAAGAATACAGGCATGATTGCAATTGGTGAGTTTTACCTACAACCATACTACATAAATTCTGTATGTCAATAAATCTATTTGATTCATATTCATCCTCTGAAGTGCTGCCACAGAAGAGAATGGCATCACACAAGGCCAGAGAAATGTTTCTTGGAAGTCATTGCTTGATCTGCTGTATGTTCACCAGTATACCATCACTGATTGGCCTGCTGGAGTCCCTGCTGTTGGTCCAGATTTCAATGTCAAATGCCTCAATGCTGATGAACTTCATGCTCTGACTGTTCCTTTCCTGAAAGAGTCAATGGGTGCAGATTACCATGCTGAGGCTCCACTAGATGATGAAGAAGACCAAGCTGAATACCTCATCCCTTTGCCAAATTCATCATTTTACCTCAAGAAGTGGGCTGATGGTGAGTTGTTGACACAAAATGGTCACCCTCACTGACATGAATAAATCCAGATCAGATTGAGCTATTTCACCACAGTGATGCAAGGATGTGTGACATCCCACTTGTGGTGAACACATTGAACCAGCACCTCCATGTTCTTTCTGATTCAGATGCATTCATTAAGGCCCTCCCTAAAGGTGACAAGTTTGAGGAGAGAAGTGCCCCTTCATCTTTCCCTGACCAACCTGTGCAAGGACAAGTGCCATCCAACAGACATCACCCTTTGCCAGCAGCATCCAACACCCACCATATGACTGTGCCTTCTTTATCCCCAGCTTATAGATTACCCCAGCCACCTGTGTGGTGCCATGTGTCTCCCTCAACATCCCACCACACCTGATGACAGCAATCACCATCCTGCACATGTCACCCCTCTCCTGCAGGATCACACCACCTGAGGCAAGGGCAATTGCCATCCTATGGACCTCATTCCACTCAGCCAGCATCCCACCACTCCCCTCTCCCTCCTTCATCTCCACAAGGTCCATCATTGCATGGTGACCATCACACATATCATATCTTGCTCCAGCAGCTGCATATCATCATCACCCCCCTTCTGATAACTACTCTCTGACTCCACATCCTTGCCACTGCCCTCAGCATGAGTCACACAAGTGCTATAGAGGATATCAGGACAATGAGAGTGATCATGGTGGTCCTTCACAACAGGGAAGAACTCACCAAAGGTATGTTGCTGGGTAGCCTACATATACAATGAGACTAACATGCACAGTGTGGTTGAATACATTTATCAAAGCCCTCCCCACAAGAGACATCATCATCATGACTCTGATGACTCTGATGGACATTCCTATCACACCCATGATCAACACAACCACTACTAGGCATGTTTTCATCTCAATCAATCGCTTGCTATTGGCTCATGTGCACAGCAGTTCAACATGTTTGCATCATTAGCATGTAACTATGATACCCTGTGGCTGTATCATCTTCCCCCTGCATATCCTTCCTTTGTGTAATGTCTGCCATCATTCATTTCATCCATTATCCACCATGATCTTTTTGTTACCATCATAACTACAATACCCTTACAAGACCATTCATTTTCTCCTCACACCTATGCATATTCAATCTGATAGCATACCCTATCATAAATACAGATTGGATTTGGGTGCAAACTGCTATGTGTGAGATAGGAATGTGAAATCCGTGGAACCAGACATCCACTAGAGCTATGATGTCCATGTGAAGGGCATGGGGCTCTGCCCTAGGCTTCAGGGGGAAGAGTTCTCAGTAGCTACCAACATAGACATGCCAGAGTTGGTTAGAGAATCCCCTGGACATCACATGGAGAATCCCCAGCAGTACTTAGAGAATCCCCAGATTGGGTGGGAGAATCCCCAGCATTTCCTGGAGAATCCCCAGCAGTGCTTGGGGAATCCCCAGAGTGGGTTGGAGAATCCCCAGCATTGCCTGGAGAATTCCCAGAGTGGGTTGGAGAATCCCCAGAGTCAGTTGGAGAATCCCCAGCACTGCTTGGAGAATCCCCAGAGTCAGTTGGAGAATCCCCAGAGTCAGTTGGAGAATCCCCAGCAGTGCTTGGAGAATCCCCAGGACATAGCTTGGAGAATCCACAGAGTGGGTGGGAGAATCCCCAGCATTGCTTGGAGAGCCTCTAGAGACAGGAGTTGGCTGGGAAATTCCAAGCATTGCCTGGAGGATCTGCTGCATACCCTGTGGATCCCCAGAGTGGGTGGGAAAATTCCAATGGCACCTGGACAATCTTTGACTTGTATGCAATGGCCAAGACTGGAGATCACTGAAGCCTTGGGAAGCATGGTGAAAGTATGTCTGCTGTGCCTGGGCAATCACCATCACCAAGTATATTCTACTCCCTCCATCAAATGTCACCAATCTTTCCTTAGTGGTCTATGGCCATGCTTTTTCACATATTGTATAGAGTGCTCAGATCAGATGCCATGGAAATAGGTACTTGGAATGATACACACTCCTGTCAGCAACATGGAGACTCCAAATCATTTTGATTGATCCTTTATGCTGTGATGGTGGTCTATTTGAACTGGAGGTTCCCATGATCATCTTGGAATAGGTCTGTTTGGGCTGGATGCCCTGGGACCTGGTCCATTCAGGCTGGGGAAACCCCCAGGATGCACTGGGAACAGGTCCATTTAGGCTGTGGAATCCCCCAGCATGCCCAGAGAACAGGTCCATTTAGGCTGGAGAATCCCCCAGGATGTACAGGGAACAGGTCCATTTAGGCTGGGGAATCCCCCAGGATGTACAGGGAACAGGTCCATTTAGGCTGGGGAATCCCCCAGCATGCCCAGAGAACAGGTCCATTTAGGCTGGGGAATCCCCCAGGATGTACAGGGAACAGGTCCATTTAGGCTGGAGAATCCCCCAGCATGCCCAGAGAACAGGCCCATTTAGGCTGGGGAATCCCCCAGGATGCCCTGGGAACAGGTCCATTTATGCTGGGGAATCCCCCAGGCTGCCCAGACAACAGGTCCATTTAGGCTGGAGAATCCCCCAGGATACCCAGGACATAGGTCTATTAACCCACTGGGGAAAGCCCCATTTGGACCCCAGGCACTCTGTTATAGATGTAATCATCCTGGAGAAAGTCCAGGTCTCACACCTTGCTCTGGAGAATCTCCAGGGCCTGGCAAATCTCCAGCAATCACTGGGAATACCCAGGTGGTCAACACCTATAAGAATATATGAACCTAATAGGTCCCCTGGGGGGGGTGACTGATGTGGCCATTGCACTAAATGCTGGGTGGATTACTGGAGTGGCAAGTACCAGTGGCAAGGACCATCTGAGCATGACTGAGGCAAAAGTGGCATTTTCTTGCATCTGACAGTGTGGTAAGTGGTAAGCTGGTGAAGATGCCAAAGCATATGGCCACATACACTAGTACGTGTCAGCATAGTTTTGCATATAGAGACAGGGTGGGGTAGTGAGGAGAGTGCAACATGCATTGCCAGCAGAACTCACTGGCATGACACAGCAGTAGCAAGCAGGGAGCAGTAATCACTAGTGCAGAGCAGAAGCCAGTGGGATCATGTGGCATAGATGGGAATGGAGTGGCAGCATGGATATGAGGTACTGGCAGGGTTGATGGCATCAGGTGGCATATGCAGGAATGGGGTAGCAGTATGGATATGAGGTAATGACAGGGGGCCAAAGTTGACAGCATTGAGTAGCATAGACAGCAATGAGTGGCAGTGTAGTTGGGAATGGGCTGGCAGCATGGATGTGAGGTGCCAGCAGGGGCAGGTGTCAACAGCATCAGGCAGCATAGAGGGGGATGAGCAGTGGCATACACAGGAATGGTAGCAGCAGGGGTTGGGTGTCACCAGCATTGAGTGGCATAGACAGGAATGGGCAACATCAAGTGCTATTCACTGGCAGCATTAGCATTAAGTGGCATAGGCCATGATTGCATGGCCACAACCTGGGTCAGAGGGTTAAACCCTTGCAATTGTGCAGGACATATGTGGCAAGTACCATGCATGATTTGAGGGTGCTGCCAATGTGCACTAGCTTAGCTGTACCAGTGGATTTATAAATCACAAGGCCAGTCACCTGGCCAGACTCAAATGGGATGGCACACACCAGAGAGACCATATCTGCACCATGTAAAGCAAAAGTGGGCAGGGATGATGATTCTCAGGAATAGCAACAATGAAATGGTAATAGTACATTCTATGGACATGTTAATCTATGTCCATCCAATTAGTAGCATCCTCATCATCAGCATCATCCCCACTAGCATGGTTGGCAACTGCCCCCAAAGAGACATAGATAGGGGGCCAGGCTTCTCCTACACCAGGGGTGAAGGAATATGCAAAATGGTGGGGGGGTGGCAGGAAAGTAGAAGGGCTAAAAGCATATCACCCAGGAGGTTCTGGAGGATGCTGGTATCAATCACAACCTCCCAGACCATCATAGTGGGTGCAAGGTCAAGTATCCTTGCACCATCAGTGGGAACAACTGCTTGATGACTTGTAATTGCAAAGCTGATGGGGGAGGGTCCAGGTGCATTGGGTGAGGAGTGTGGCAATGGGTACAGGCACTGGCATAAGGCCTCGACAAGATTGCAAAGTGTCTGCAACTCAGTCTGGGTATCTGCAAGGGCCCACTGGGTATCAGCAAGCTCATGGCAGGTATCTAGGAGATCTTGTGCCATCTCCATATGCTGCTGCCACAATGCTGCAATCTCCTCTTCTATATGCTCCATGGGGGTGGCATTGGGGGTCACTGGGCAGGATGGGGTAGTGAGACAGCTTTGGGGTGTTGCCACTGCCTGGGATGCCAGGCTTAATGTCTGCTGACCTGACTGCCACCAGGATGGAGTGACAATGACCACTCCATCAAAAACTATGTTAGGCTCAATAAGAATAGCAGAATGAAAGAAATGGAGGACTTACTTTGCCTGCAGGAGCTTGGGGTGGCTGAGGTGGTTGTCTTGCCAGTGGTGGGTGTCATACTTCTAGTGGCTGCCTGCTGCTTCTGGGTCTGCCATGCAGGAGTGGTGGGTTCCAAGGATATCATGGCTGATGGCCCTGGCAAAGGGCTTTGAGGACAGTGTTGGCTGGGGGGATGGGTGGCTGCAACAGTTTGGGGACAGTCCACTGCTGCATCAGGTGCCTCAGTTACAGCACAACTGCAGGGTCGCCTTGACTGTGACCATGCAGCCTTCACTCCAGCAAAGATACTGCACCTGTACTTCCAGCAGCTACACTGCCAACATGCAGAACCTGGCTTGACTGCACATGGCAGATTTTTCTCCACACACCTATCACACTGGTCTTCTTTGGCAACAGGCATATAGCCAGTAGCAGGGGTTGCAAGAGCTGCAACTGAGCAGCCATGACCAGCAGATGCTCCAGCAGTTGCTGTTGAAACATCAGCATCACTTGCTGCCACTGACCTTGTACACTTCTGTGGCCTTTGACTTCTGGGCTGAGTGCCATTAGGAGCAGTGCAACTGGTTGATCAGCCACAGGGTTCTTCCAAAGTGTCAGTGGCAGTGGCAGCATTGTCACTTATCTGAAGTGGGTCTAATGGAACTACATTCCCTTTACCCTTATCAACAGGCCTTCCAATCTGGTACCACAGATGGTCTGCAACATCAGCATCTGTTGCATCTCTGATCTTGTCAAAGTTCAGCCACTCCTTCAATGCCATAAGCACCACCAGATCTCTCATGATCATTTCAGTGGCAATGATGTGGGTGGGGATGGTGAATTTTGAGGGCAGTTCCTCAACCAAAGGGTGCACATGGGTCTGGAATGTTGTAAATATTGGAGGATAAATAGATTGGCATGCCGCAAACCAACTGTTCCCAAATGACATGCATAACTCTTTTCCAGTATTGCTTGTTCCTGTGGTCATGGAGCATCAAAAGCTCTGCCATGACTATGTCTCCAGCATTAGTGACTATTTCATGCAGGAGAGTGATGGAGGGAGTGGTGGCAGCAGTTTGGGATGCTTCAGCATGTTGGGACATTTTTGTGGAAGTGGGGTACTGGTGTGAGAGTGGTGCAGTTGAGTGATAGTTGATAATTGCATTGGCAGTGCAGCCACATTTTATATTTTCATGAACCACTGTGCCAGCATCAACACTGGCCAGTAGACAAACAAGCCCAAATAGCCAAATCTGACATTGTGACACAATTGAACAATATTTCAATCAACTTATCAACATTCTACAGATCACTGAACATCATGGAGCAAAAGTCAGTAAGGTGGAGGCCAGGCAGTCTGGACACTTGATGTAAGTAGTCATTATAACATACAACTGTCAATAACCTTCACCAGTCATCTCCCCACATAATACACCTTGGGTATTGCCAGGTGCTGACAATACAAATATGGTCATAGATGAACCAGAATTTCTACTGTTCAGAGTGGCCATGAATGCTGCAGCTTGGGGCCATCAGCTAGGATTGCCATCACCCTCCATGCCACTGAATGCTGGCCCTTCCTGGCCATTGCTCAGCATGCTTGCACCATCTTGGGACTTCCCACCACTTTCACTGGAGGTGCAGCCATCTGCTGCTGATCAACAATGGGAGGCATGGCAAGCAAGTCATTCCATGCCATCCTTGGCCACCATTGCACCTAGCTGGGATTCACTAACATCTTCCCTGGCAGTCTCACCCCCACCTAGATCATTTCTGGCATCTGCACAAATTCCACAAACTGTGCCATCTCCCCCAGATCATGCATATATGGATGAGTGTTTAGATGGTGCAGCAGCCTCTGAGCCACAGCCCATCCTGGCTACATCATGGCAACCATCTCCACAGCCTACAGCCACCAATGCTGCTGCTGGTGAGTGCCATGTCATCTCTTGTTGCCACCAGTATTAAGTGCATTAGCTTGCTTTTCAGCATTGTGATGTTTCACCAGTGACTTGGGTATACAAGGAATTCATGACAAAGGGCCAATTACAACATGTAAGTTGTTTTATGATATCCCTCACATATATATCAATCATCCAGCAGTGGAAAAAGCACAGCAGCTTGTGGTTCTTCTTGCAGGACCAGCTGATGAGCACCCACCACATCTTAACACCACCACCAATGGGCCAATCATTGCAGCCCACAACCACTACAGTAATATATTGGTGGAATCAAGCATCTGGTTTTGCCTGTTGCTTGCAAGGAGAGCACGGCTGGCAAGGACTCAGCAATATATACAAGATTTGATGACCAGTAATTGGGATGGCAAGGATGAATTGGAACTGGATGAGGATTTATTGTAATTGTAGCTATTGGTTGTCAAAATGTAGTATCACATTCCATGGCCATGTAAAATACAAATGCTAACATCACCTAGGTTTCTTGGAGGGACTAGGAGTAGGAACATCATCATCAGGCTGCTTTGGTGCCTTCCACACCCATTTTGATTGCTACATACCCCTCACATTGTCTATGCCAGTCTGGTGCATGGGTACTAGGATTGAGAGATAAATTGAATCAACAATTCAGTGACTGTAGCACAAGTACTGACTCATTGATGGAATGGGCAACTTGCACTTTGAATCTTCCTGTTTATGGCCTCTCTTGATAGTTGTTGGCACTGTCAAAGGATCTGCTGGGTGGAGAGAATCAGGCAAATCAATGTGGTGGCCTTCTGGCATAGGTTGCACAGGGCTTGTATTGCCACCCACAACCTGCTGCCAGGCATTTGGTGATTCCTTGCCAATGGCTGAAACATGTCAGCCATTAATGTTAACAATATTTGGCTGTTGTGATCCTGCTGGCTTACCAATTGGCTGGCAGGTGTCACCCTCAGCCACTTGGCATCTGGCAATCCACTGCTGGAAGTCTGGCAATGCTACCACCTCTGCAGCATCTTCATCCACCATGCTTGTGCCTGTACCATCATTTCTGTTTGACAGCAATGTTGGTGGTATTTGACAGAGATTGGATTCATTGTCAGAATCAGACCCTACAACTTTGTCCCCCATTAGACAATATTGCCACACATTTAAGTTCCAGATGCATTCCTTCATACCTGTTTGCCATTGCTGCTTCCTCCTACCCTGCATCATTCTATCCATCATCGTTTTTCCTGCTGAGTGGTCTGGGGTCCCATCCAAATCCTGCTTCACACCCATCCTTGCTCCACTGCTGTTGGCCTCTGCTACCAGCATTCAGAGGGACCCTCCTGCATCTCTCCACTTCTTGAAGCTGAATATATTGTTGGGATGCTGCTCTTTTCACTCTTGCCACCATTCCAAGATTGCTGTCAACTTCTCCTGGGTAAGTTGACTTGGCTCTTTGAAGGGAACCTCAGGTGGCAGAAACTGTGGTGCAATATGAAGTGCAGTGTTGGCCATTATTGTGCTCCATGGAACAGTCACCTGTGAATTCCCACAGGCCTTCTCTGTAACACATGTCAATGAACAGTATCTCTCCTATTGTTATACATATGATAGTGAAATGTTACAAATGTCCACATGATATCCTTCAACTTTGGTGCCTGCATGTCCAATATGTTTGGGATGTATGGTGTGCCATTTTCACTGACTGGCAGGATGGTTTTAGGTTTCCCATTGCTCTTTCTCTGCCTTGACCATGGAGTGGCATCTTCATCTGGTGACTCAGCATTGGTGCCACCATTCCCAAAGGCCATCCATGCATACTTTACAAATATATCCTGGCACTTGTCCAACTCCTCAAATAATTTTCCATTACCCAATTCATCATTGAAATCATGTCTGGGTGAGTTGGTCAAAATCTGGCAGTACTCATCTGCACAAAGAACAAATTCCTCACACTCCAACTATCACCTCTCCATTGGCATCTTCCCATGCTGCCATCACTACCACCCTGGCACCACACTGCTTCCACATTTCCTTAGCAAATTTCTTGGCATATTTATGGCCTTTCTTCTCTGCAGTTCTGTTTCTTGTGAGTGATGGGCAGCATTGCCAAATGGTATGTACTCTGACTGAACATCCTGAAGTGGTTGCCACTGTAAGTTAGGTATAAAGCAATGCTAGGGAGTGCAGGGAACTCCTAGGGCTTGATAGGAATGGGTCTAGTTCAACCCAGAGGGGTTCTGAGCTTGGAGTGGTGAAAAGAGGTGAAGGAGTGACTGGAGTTGGTCAAAATGAATGGAATGGGGAAAATGAGCAAATAAAGGCATCTGGAGGGTCATCTATGGGTGCCTCAATGAGGGCTTGTCACAGTCTTTTGTTTGCTGTCTTTGATTTTGCTGTCTTGCAGTCAGGTTCTTCTTTTTTTTTTATTTGTGTACTCTAGATCTACACTAGTGTGCAAAAATGCTGACTAAGCTACCAAAAATGCGCCACACAGGTAGGCTAAGTATCACTAATGTAAATCAAAGCAAAAATACAGTAGAAAAGATAAATAACTAAATCCCCTTAGTAGGGAGTACCTATTCCCTACATCCAGTTGCAGGAAATGAGAGAATTATTTTAAGAGGGAGGTTGAGAGAACAGTGAGATCTGAGGGGAGAGAGTAGGCCAAAAGGGGCTTCTATAGCCTGAGACTGGATCCTGGTAGTCATCTGAAGGCTTCTATGGCTGTCTTGGTGCAGGGAATGACCTGCTCAAGCTCATCTCTCGTCTTAGGGTAACTTGTCTCTTTTTTCTAAAGTAAGAAACCATACACAAGTAGCACTACTGCTGACTAAGCAACCAAAAAAGCAAAATCTAAGTATAACTTGTAGAAAAAGTATCTAGGAATGAAAACCAAGTAAAACAAGGAAAATAAACCAATTCCCCTGGTAGGGAAATTACATTCCCTACACCACTCATTCCATTCTTTGGCCAATGCCTCAGCCTCCTGTATCTCCTTGGCAGTAAGGGACTTCATGACAGTGTCAATGGCCTTCTGATAAGACTTGATCATTTCTGTGGATCCTGGCTTGATCCTGGCTTCTTCCAACACTTTGTTGATTGATTTCTTTTGATGGTGCATGACCACCTTCCTCAGTGTCCAACTGCCACCATATTTGATCAGAGCCTGTCAACTATGGCTCCAGCCATGGTTGTACAACCAAGTCTGAATTGCCTGGAAATGGTAAGGACATGCCAGGTAATCAATGGCAGGTGTGGCACAACTTCTTCTTCTGAACTCATTCATGCATTTTCAGCATCACATTCACATCAAGGTTCTTTATCTTGTTTCTGAGGGTTAACATGATGGAGCTCCTCTTGTTTTGGTCAGCATTTTTCCATGACTCTAGCTTGGCCTCAAGAATCTCAATTTTGGCTGGCTGAAGACTGGTCCCCTTTTGTGGCAGGGAGGGTTCAGTGTTGTTGGAGAAAGAGTCACTTTCATAGTCACTGGATGCCATTGAGGATGGAGGTGCTTGTGTGCAAATTTTCAGGGGACAACTAGTACAATGTCTATTGAAGAGAATAGACTTCTCCAGCATTCTCCCATGTCAATGAAGGTTACATTTCAGTGTCTAGTCCATTCTTGCATGCCAGTTGATCAGACAGTTTCCCAAGATGGCTAAGGGTGTTAGTCAATCATGAGATTTCCATCCCTGAGCCATGTGCAAAGGTGGTGCCTCTCAGACTTCATGGATCTGAGATCTTTGGTAATTGGGCAATGTGCAGGTGCCAGCACTGAAATCATGTGCCAGATCCTAAGACAGCATTACCATAGTCAGTGGTCAGACCTTGCTAGCACATGTTGGCTGCATGTATTTGTTGTGATCAAAACCCTTCTGCATTGCAACATTCATCATGGGGAAGTCAAAGATTGCACCAGTGGGACCTGCTACAAGAGTGACCCAGGTGACCAGGCAAAGAGTGAAAACCACCCAAGGATATAGGGATAAGATGGTAAAAGTAGCACCCAGAAAGCAGGTGCCAGGCCATGCAACTCAGCCTCCTGTGCAGCCTGACTCTGTTATCCTGGATCACCTGGACTGCCTGTTGGATGATGTGGGTGAACAACTTCCTTCCAATAATGATGTATTGCCTGCAACACCTTCTAAACCTTGGAAAAGTCAGGTGTGTGGAATGCCACATTGCCCAACAAACCTGCAATGACAGTATCACATAATTGTAGAATAGTTATCTGCAGCAGTGGTTGCCACACCAATGGCATTATCTAGCCATCCTGTTGGACATGGAGGCCCCACCTGAGCCAAGGGATTGTGTCCTGTGTGGAGCAGATGGAATTTTCTGGTGCATTGAGTGTGCCCATTGGCCAGTCTTCTGCACCATGTGTTGCTGGGCAGAACACAAGCACCAGCCATTCCACAGGGTGGAACAATGGAATGGAACATTCTTTGAGGAATCATCCCTGCAGCTGGTAAGCAGCTGAATCATGATGGTTGTTCCTGTATTTACCATTCAGGCCAGTTTGGTACTGCATGTTGGGCATGGTGGGCAGCACTGCCCAGCCAGTGGTTGTTCAAATGATGAGGTCACAACTGAGGAGGAAGATGATTGGGAGGATGTGGATCAAGATGGTTGTCCACCAAATCTGCAGGCCCTGAGGAACCAAAGCTGTCTAATTGTCATGCACACCAATGGAATACACTACTGCAATGTGCAGTATTGTAGATGCCCTGGGGCAGAGGATTCACATACAGCTGATGTGGGCTGGGATGTTTCCTGCTACCACAAAGGCTGCAAGGACTGCATTTACCTTCCAAGTACTTGATGACTTTGTTCAGGACAATGTGGAATGTGGTACCTCAGCAATGAATTTCTACAGCAAATGTTGCCACATAACCTCCAATGCCTTTCCTCATCTGGTGCCAGTGCATCCTACTGGTTGAATTGTATCACTGCAACACAACTCTTAGCTGTATGATAGGATAGGTACAGGGAACTGCTGAGAGTTGCTAGGATGTGGCAGCTCCTGAAACTACTGAAATGGCAGGGATCCCACATGAGTGCAGAAGATGCTGGCCCCAGGGAATTAGTGTTATTCTGTCCAGCATTTCCCCAACCCAGAATCAACATTCCTGAAGATGCAATGGATTATTCCCAGTGAGTGATACCATGAACACTGCTAGCCATTTATACACTGTGTAATCCAGTTGGACACTGGCAAGAAGCTTGGTCATGGATGGGAATTTCAAGGCAGAGCATATGCATCCAAAGGATGCTGGCAGTGAAGCCTGGTTGATGGATGGAAAGGGGTATAAATTACCTGATGGACTGATCACACTACAAGATCTCAGATTTCAGCAATCATTGGGCAGTTAATCAAGCAAATGCCAACCTGGCAGCAGCTTGCATCTATGGGAATAGGTGGATGTGCCTGTGCATGGCATGGCTGTTTTGTGCCACATGCAATGGTTGACTTCCAGAAGGTCAAACAGTATGAATAACCTTGTAACAATGTATGGCAATATTGACATCGACATCACAGGCAGGTTAACATGGACTATGCACTTGTGCATGCCATCAGGCATGGCACAGTCCCTGGCCAGCAAGTGATACATTTCTATGATATTAACTGCCAGAATAGCAAAGGATTAGAATGACAGCTACATGCCAATGCCTATATATCCATGCCAGATGGCATGCAGATCTGCCCTGGCATTGGGTTGTGGCATGTCCATGGCCACCACACAGAATGCTTTGTACAATATGCTCCCAATTTCATTGTGGGTGCTGGCCAGGTGGATGGGGAGATCATGGAAACCTTGTGGTCCTCCCTGAATATCATTTCCCCATCTGCTAGAGGCATGGCTACTCCCCATCAGCAGGAGGTACTTGATTTCCAAATGAATGATAGCAATTTCCTGAAAACAGTGTGAGTCAAAGTGAGGTTCAGTGGTGAAAACCAACCAAAACCAACACAAAAGACAATGAAAGCGAGTGGTGGTGTGCCTATGCAGTACCTAGATGGTAGAACCTGTTCTTTGGGAGGGTTTCTGCAAGCTACAACACTCAAAGATGAGTGCTGAGGGTTGGGGGTGCTCCTGACGAAGAGGGAGCAAGAATGTGATAGAAAGTGATAGGGTAGACTGCTGTCAGCCTACAGAAGGATGGATGGTGACTTAATTCAATGTCCTAAGCTGTACTGAGCTCAGGGAGGGCTTGGAGCGAAGTATATGGATGATAGATGATGATAAGCGAAGTAGATGATAGCTAGACCCTTAATAAAGTCTCAACTATCGAAGCTGATGAATGATTTACTGAGAGATGATAAATTGCGAGCAAGAGGGGGCTCTCTGATGTCTCCTTCTTTTTTTGCTACCTAAGTACAGTGACTTATATACAGTACAGGGGCATTGCCTATGAAAAACAAGGTGCAAACACTTGGTAAGTGATTGGAAACTGATGAGTAAGGAATGTAAGCGATGGGTAATCGTCTTGGAAAGCATTGGTAAGCATTGGTAAGGATAAGTAAGCCAAAAAGCAAAGAATCAGTAAGCAAGGTCAAAAGATTGGTAAGTATTGGCAATAGGTGAGTCAAAGACAGTCAGAATGTCACAGTATGAGTCAAGCAATGTCAGGAACTGGGAAAGTACACTGGAATCACATTAGGGGGAGGCTGTGCATGTCACATCTCAAAGAGATCACTTCTAGGCCAAAGTGGGATGACAGAGAGGCAGTGCTGATCTGATGCTGATATAGTACATCCAAAAGCAGACAGGGTGAGTCAGATGTCAACAGGGGTCAAGCTTTGGGGGTCTGTGGGGTGACAGGAGCATAGGGGATCACAACTTTCCCCCCCCCCCAAACCATCCTCTCAGTGAAGCAAATAAAAACTTCATGAATGAGGCTCTGTTGGAAGAGAGGATGAAGGGGGAGAATCTTCTGCTGTATCTTGCAACAAGGAGGCAAGATGTGCATCATACTCATCATGGATGCAATCAGGGAGAGTGGAGAACAGTAGATTATACTGTAGCTGTCGCAATTTTGGAAGAATGATGGACGAGACTGGTATGAAGATGTTGCAGGGGGCAGGGAGGAAGGATCCATATGCTTCTTGGACTGGAGAGACTGAAATGACCACATAAGACCTTTCCAAGTGAATGACAGACCTGAGGTGACCAAAGAACGTCCTCCTGGAGGTCATACTGACAAAAAGAATGTGCTGTCCAAGCTGGATGGGCTGAGAGGGGGCAGATGAGGGTGGGATGTACCAGGATGCTTCAGGACAGAAGCTGGTAGGAACTCCTGGTAGATATATGTAGCCATGGTCCCTAGCAAAGGGGACAAGTGAAATGACTGATGTGGAGGCAGCCATATCAGAAGAATTAGTGAAATGAGTGTCTTTTGGAGGGAGTGCTGTAGAAACGTGTGGAGTGCACAAATCCTTTCCAATCTTGGAAGGTAGGATCACATGGCTGAGCACTACAAGCGAGTGTGGGAATGGTTTTGGTGTCTGCAGGATTGGTGGAGATACGTCAAAAACCGGAATGCCATACATGGGCACTTAAGAACTTTATTGGTGCTTAACTTGCCTCCTCCTTTTTCTTTGGCATTGACAACTTGTTCTTGTGTGAGGGATGACTGCCGACATTGCTGGCTGTCCTTCTTTGCATGAGGGCTATGGTCTTCACCTCCATTCATCAGCTACATCCATGTCCACCTCACCAAACACCTTTGGTGTGTGACAATGGTCAGAATGCATAAGTCTAGTGCTTGTATCAGACATGGTTGCATGGCTAACAGGCTACAGCAATGAGACTTGAGCAGAAACTAAAGGTTACTGAGGAATCTTATTTAGTGGTTGAAAGCAGGTTTGCTGATTTGAATGGTAATGTCCCACTGGCAATCAGCCAATCATGGGGGGAAGAAGCAGCAGTGGCATTGGACAACCAGCTGTCAAGGCCACGGGCCATGGATATATATGAGGTCAGGCTGCAGAAAGGTAGGTATTGAAGGTTATCCTGGACAGGATTTGGGCTGAGTGGTATTGCAGCTCCCTCTGCAAAGGCAATCAAGATAGATTTACTGGCCTTCCCTCAGCCAGGGCATTCACAGGGTATGGTGACCTGGATTGTGAAGGCATTGAAGATAGAGGAAGCACAAATCCAGCTTGCAGTGGCATGCTGGCACATCACCTCAAGAGCAACAGAAGCTCAAAATCTCACCACTGCACATCACTGTGATCATCTCCAGTCCCATATACATGGCATTTTCAACACTGCCAAAAAACTATTTGGGGACAGATTCAAGGATTCCAAGCTGTACCAGTCATCTAACCCACATGATCCAGAAACCATTGCATTGCTGCTGCTGTCCAATGTTGGCAAAGATCATTTTGAACAATCTGGCCTGGGGTATGTGACACTAATGGAGCTGCAACTGTGGCAAGGACAGGCCAATGATTGTCTTCATGAACTGCAGCTTGTGCTTGCAGAGAAGGTGGTCATCTTTTGAACTGACATTTGCCATGGAAGTAATTACTACATGGCCATGCATGCCTGGGGAAGGGTGGCCAATGCTGCTGTGTACTGCCAGTGCTGCATTCAAATGGGCAGGTTAGGGGCCAGGCCAGATATCCTGGAGCAATACAAAGAGTTGAATGACTCTGACCTAACTATCAGCATGGCAGTATCTGACCCAAATGCCAGAGGTCACAGGGACAATACCCTACCTTGGATCTGGACAATGGATGTACTAAGGGACACAGCTGCTAATGATTGGATGTCAGAATGTGAGAGGAGCAATCACATGGCAGCAGCATCTGAGATTTACTTATCATTTTCTCTAGTTTACAGGGTCAATTGGCTTTGGATGAGAGCAATGCAGGACAGATGGAAGGAGGAGATTCAGCTGTTGAAATGCAAGCAGGAGTGGACTAAAAACTTCTTTGAAAACAAGGTAAGATTTTGGACTGGCAGAAAGGCTGCCACATTGGAAAAGGGACAGGCCAGGCCAGCATGCTATGCCACACAGCAATGCCAGATGTATGGCAGATTAGCATGTCTTCTGTGAACCATTTCCATCTAGAGACCACTAGCTATCTGCAATGACATCATTTTTGAGATCTCCCAAATGATGCTGGGGTTATGGATTGCATATTGGTTGGTGTAGTTGAATGCAAGCTAAGCATTTGCTAATGAGTACTGCTTTAACAGCAGATGCATGCCACCATGCAAAGCTGTGGGAAAGTTGGCCAACACTTATATAGTATGACATCTCATCTTTCATGCCAGTAAGTCATGTCATCAATGTTCACCATGGCTGAACTCTCTATGGCCATACAGTACTTGGGAATGAGGTTTCATTGCCTTGTCACTGCCATGAAGAAGCCAGATTGGTCTGAATACTGGCACACTAGTTGGTATCAACATTTCCTGGCAGAAGCAGTAAGCCACTGTTCCTGTGGTGGTGCAATGGTTGATAGTGGTACAGGGTACAATGGAGCATCTGATGGGCATGGCATCTTGCCATCCCATTACCCTGATCATGCTGCTCACAGCTGACAGGCTGTTAACATACCTGAATGATGGTGATCAGAGTCCCTGCAACATTTTAGCTTTCATCAAAAGCTTCAATCCCTGCCTGACAAGGATTAAGGAGTGCCATGTCAAACTGGCCACTACCATGGCCCATACATGGTGGCAGAATGACAGTGGCAAAGTGGAATTGGGATATGGGAGGAGACTGCTGTGGGACATAATTGCAGAAGCCAAAGAATTTTTCACAGGAGTATCAGTAAGTGGCAGCACACCTTTTCTCACTTCCAACTCACCCATGGTATCAGAATGGCAGCATTTTGCTACCCCTGCTTATTATTTCACATCCATCACCTACTGCCAAATGTGCTGCACTACACACAATGTGCACAGAAGGCTTGAAGGATATTGATCAGGAGTTATCATATCTTTCCAAGTTAATCTTACATTCACAGGAGTGGATGTCATCACTGGAAGCCATTACCCAATCTAAACTTGCTTTACAGGTTGTGTGGGTGGAGTCAGTGTCAAAGGTGTGGGAATGAACATACAGCCACTGTACATATTATCAACCATCTATAATGAGTTTCCTTTGGGGCTGGTAGCTTTACTTTATCAGAATCAATGCCAGTAAATGTGTAGGGGCATTCCCATGATCACTGGGTCTTTTGTGTACTCCTCTCCCTGTGGCCCCAATCATGTCAATGTCATTCTTGGTCTGGCAGTCTATAAAGCCATCCACCAGGTTCACAGTCAGATATCTGTGATGTGCCAGTGCCATTGAACCATCTCTGGCATGGTGCTCCAAAACTGCCCATTCAATGATGCTGCTAGCAAAACAGGCTGGTAATCTGGACCTTGATTCATGTTGCCAGCAGTATCAGAAATGTGCAACCCCCAATTGGAATGTGTGGAAGGGGCTAATATCTTCTGTAATGTATACTTCAGCAGCATTCACAGCTGTTCAAGGTTGTGTCCCAGCCAGGCCACATTCCAAAATGCCAATGAGGCTGTGGTCTCATTGCTGCAGAGAGCTTCTATGCTGCATTTAGTTCAATGTTACCACATTAGTCACTACAATTGCCAACAACATTAGCCACACAATTGCCATGGCCAGAGGGATCCATGCCATGTGTGTTCCTCATGTCTCTGGATGACATCTCACTTGTTGCTGGTGGATCCCCTTAACTTCCCCAACCTGATCACATTAGAAATGTCTGGTACTGGCACATTCCCACCCAACTATCTACTTTCTGACCAGCTTGTGGAGTATGTGCATTACCAAGTTCTCCATGAGATGCATCCTTGCACTGTCACTGTCCTGCCACAACCTCTCAAACTCAAGGTCCAGACATGTATTGCACTCAATCAAATGGCAGCAACACTGGCCCAGGCCTATTGTAATCCCTGTATGCCATTTTAAGAGTGCTGCCATGTGTCCCACTAACATTTATTGCAGTTCCCTCTGGCATTGAATTAATCAGGCTGTCAGAAAGCCTATCACCTCAAGAAACAGGTTTCAATTTGAACTGGGAGGCCCACATCCTTTCTGCTCACCCACCATATCTGAGTGGGTATTTGGATGTTCCTGCAATCATTCTGGGTGAAGGGGATGCAATTGCTTTGTGGTATCTACCCAGTGCAATGTCTCAATCAATGCAGGTAGGCATTGTGATGTATCCTGCTGTCCTCAGTTCACAACCCTACCAAGGACCAGATGGTGGGAGCTATTCCCCCACTTTCCAATATGTTGACTCAAAGCATATCTGATGGTTCCTGGAAAACATCACCCAATTACTTTCCAGTGGATCACCATTTGCCAGCAGACTGCTTAGAGCTTTCACCAGCCTGGCATCAACTTGGTCATGCTGTGAGGGTCATCCTCATGCTTTATCTCAAAATACTCATTGCTAATGTTGCAGACACTGGCACACCAGCCTTCCATATCTGCTGACCTTGCAGCTCCAGCTGCTTGGCAATGGATCCATGCTGTCTGAACACCATTAGCAATTCTCTCTGCTACACTTTCAATTATGCACCCTCCTTTGTACAATGCTGGCTACCAAGCCATGCAGCAGCTGACTGAGTGGTCTACCATGAATGATCCCAAAATGTCAGCAACACTCCAACACTGGCCAACAGTTTATGCCAACATCTCCATGATTGCTAACTGGTCAGCTCCCCTCCATCATGACCCACAATCCTGTGCCAACTGATATGACATGCTTGTTAGTGTTGGCAATTATTCTGAATGTGTTCTTGACATTCCCTCTCTTGGTCTTCAATTTGATTACTGGCCTGGCACTGTTGTAGCCTTTTCTGGCTGGCTTTTGTGGCATGGTGTGAATGATGTGAGTGGCAACTGTTGCTCACTAGCATTCTACATGTGGGACAATATTCACAACTGGCTTGGAGTCCCTCAAAGTGATTGGATGCACATTCCATTGGTGTGGCAAGCTCTCACAGGCATGTAAATCACCCATGGCACCCTGTATTGTATTGTATTGGTCCTTATTTAATGCCCTGGGCATCCAGTATTTGATCAACACAATCCCAGTTTGAATGAAATCTATGAAATCAATGCAATATTACTAGCCACCCTTCTGTGATTGTATGAAGTATAGGTTATGATCTTATACTGGTGGTAAGATATGCAGTATACTGACAATTCATGCTATGCTTCATGTCCATATCTATAGTACCCTAGCTGTGTGCTGCCATATACAGAACTATCCATGCTGGATGCCACATGCTGACATGAATCCTACTCAATCCCAATGTGTGCCACAGTATGTTGGGTCAATGCCATCAGCTGCTGAGAACTGCCAGTTTATTCCTCTGCATCTAACTGTGTGCTGCTGTATGCAGAACCATCCACACCATGCATCAAGCCTTGACATGGATCCTAAGCCAGTCAGGTGTTTGCCACTGTATGCCATGCCCATGCTGCCAGCATGTGCCAAGCAATATCCACCAGCTGCCACAACCCTCCAGAGACTTATGGAGCAGGTGCTGCCAGGTGCTGCAATACATGTTGCCACAACTTCCCCATGAATTATGCTGCATGCTGCAATGTGCCATAATGCAGAATGCCATATCTGCCAGCTGCTACTGCTTCCAAATACATGGTGCTGCATCCCAGTTTGTGGTACTGAATGCCAACCTTTTAAGCTATGCCAATTCTGGTAGTATCTGCAAGGGGTAGGCATGCAGGGTATGCTGGTAATATTTGCTCTGGAGTGGCTGGCATGCCACAGTTTGCTTCTGAACATATGCCAAAAGCTTACCCTGGAGGGCCATTGCATGCTCCCAAGTGCTCTGAAATGCTATGGTATGCTCTGGCACATGTGCCATAGTTTGCTTTGCAATTTGCTCTAGAGTGTCTGCCATGCCACACCTTGGTTTGGAACATATGCTGCAGCTTATTCCAGAGGACCATTGCCTGCTCTGGAGTTCTCTGGAATGCTATAGTATGCTCCAGCACATGTCCTGCAGTTTACTCCAGAATTTGCTATGGAGTGGCTGGAATGCTGCAGCTTATCCTGGAGGGCCGTGGCATGCTCCAGCACATGTCCTGCAGTTTACTCCAGAATTTGCTCTGGATTGGCTGGAATGCTGCAGCTTATCCCAGAAAGCCATGGCCTGCTCCAGAGTTCTCTGGAATGTTATGGTATGCTCTGGCACATGTGCTGTAGTGTATCCCAGAATTTGCTCTGGAGTGGCTGGCATGCTGTGGCACATGCTATGGTATACTCTGGCACATGTGCTGCAGTGTGCTCCAGAATTTGCTCTGGAGTGGTTGGCATGCCACAGCTTACCCCAGAGGACAATGGCATGCTCCACCATTTGCTCCAGAGTGGCTGGCTTGCCACAGCTCACCCCAGAGGGCCATGGTATGCCCTGGGGTGCTCTGAAATCTTACAACATTACACTGCTGAGCTATCCTGAAGCATGCCAAGGTCTTGTGCCAACTTCCAGTGCTGATCTACACATGCCACAGCATGCCACTGGATAGGTGACATCTCACACTAGGCTACTCCAGGTACTTCAGGGACAATTTGATTGTGGCCTACTCATGTATTATTTGATAATAGAAGCTGGGCTGGTCCATACAGCAGGGGGATGACTCAGTGTAGGGCTCAACCTCCACTGGCCCATGGGACACAGCAAATAGTCAGCCTCTGCTGGCCCTGTCATATGGTACAATGTAGGTACATTATGTGTTGTAGCTGCCTTTCCATCATTCCCTTACAGAAACTTGCTGAACTGGGATCTGAGGATCAGTATGGATGGCAATTTCATCTCATACTGGATTTCTGACACTGATGTTGGTAGCACAAAGCCAGAGTCAGTGGGGACAATCCAGGAGTTCATCTGGGAAGAACTCAAAGTTCTCATGGTGAATGTACTTCCCCCACACATTGTTTCTGAATTCCTAGCATAATATTTGTTCTCTGCACTTCTCTATGGGACTTGCTACTTGCAATATCACATGTTGTTTATCTGTTTATCTCATGTTGCTGCTGTGCTTCAAGTTTGAGAATCTTTCATAGCAAGTGTCAATAGTCAGCATAAACCACATGGCAGTCATACATTATGTATCATGTCACAATGCTTATTGAATATGCTGCTGAGGCTGCTTTGATGCCAACATGTTTGTTGTGTACTGATGAATGACAGGCAGGCATTGTACCTTGGACATTGACCAAGGGCTCAGCCAATGGGTAAGGTATACCTCTGCCAGTGGTGTGATAGGCCACAGACCAACCTCAAGTCAGCACCAGGATTTTTTTGTCCCAGATATACATAAAATTTGATGTTGCTAAGATGTATGTCCAGACCATGCTCTCTGCACCTTTTTGGGGGCAGTTTGATATGGCAATGTCACATGTAGAAGGATTGCCATCAAATATTAGGTAAAGTATTAACACATTTGGCTGTGTACAACGTAACCACGTCCCATGCGTCCAGAAATGGAAATGGCTGCATGTAAGTGACTCGGCTGATAAGCCAAATCAGGACATGCCAAATGGCAGTCCCTACTGACTCGTCATTTTCACCGTAGACCTCACCGAATTGACAGCGTACGGAGTTCCCGGCAAGTCAATACATGACGGTGACCATATATATCGACCAGACGAGCGGTGTCGACGCTGCAGGCCGCGGCACTGCCGATCAGCCTTACCAAACCCTTGCGTTCGCAATATTCCTGACGCCTGCGGCCGCCGTCGATACCACACGGTATCAGATCCGGAAAGGGTCTGAAGCGCAATACGATGCGCCTACGCAGTCCGCAACGAAGAAAGCCAAGAAAGACGCGCAAGGGTTGGAGAAGAAACGTTTGAAGGCTGAGACAGAGGAAAGGGAGTCACGCGAGCGGCAGGAGAAGCGCGAAAAGAAGCTCGAGGAGAGTAAGAAAATCGTCCTCGTCGAAGATCTTTCTCTTCCGACCCCAATAAAGGTCTGAATCAATATCACGCATATGACCGTACTCTGATCGTTTTACTTATAGTCAAAGATCGTACGTCTCGTGAACTACAGAGACAAACGAGTACGTGTATGTGGATGGGTTCATCGTAAACGTGACCAGCAAGATATCATGTTCGTGGTACTAAGAGATGGAACTGGTTATCTGCAAGTGGTGTTTACGGGACAAACTGTAAAGATCTTATGCTTACAGGCAGAGTCATCGATGCGTATCTTACTTTCTGATCACCCTTTATTCACAGAACAAAACCTACGATGCCGTGACTCTCCAGCTAGAGGCGGCGATCGAGTTGACAGGAACTCTGAAGCTTGTTCCCGAGGGACAAAAAGCACCCGGTGGTCACGAACTCGTCGTTGACTACTGGAAGGTCCTTGGACCAGCCCCCGGTGGAGACGATGCCTTCACGAACAAGCTCAATGAAGTGTGTTGCTTTGTCGTAAAGACAAGGTGCCTTGAATTAGACTAACTCCGAACTCCAGCAATCCGATCCTTCAATCTTGGCTGATAACCGCCATCTCGTATTGCGCGGTGAAACTGCGTCTAACGTACTTCGACTACGCGCTGCCCTTCTCTCTGCTTTCCGTTCTACGTACGCTGAACACGACGTGATAGAAGTTACCCCTCCGTGTCTCGTACAGACACAAGTTGAAGGAGGTGCTACCCTGTTCAAACTCGACTACTACGGACAGCCCGCTTTCCTTACTCAAAGTTCTCAACTATATCTCGAAACATGTCTTGCGTCTCTTGGAGATGTATTCTGCATCCAGGAGAGTTTCCGCGCCGAGAACAGCCACACACGTCGCCATCTGAGCGAGTACACGCATCTCGAAGCCGAATTAGCATTCATCAACTTTGACGACCTGATGACCCACATCGAGACCGTTGTAAGTTGTTTGCATTCGCATCTTCTACATCGAATGTCGATCGATTGACGTTTATGAAGATCTGCGAGTCGGTAGATAAGATTCTCGCCAACCCCGCCACGACTGCATTAGTAAAAACACTTAACCCCAGCTTTACCGCTCCTGAGCGACCTTTCAAACGGATGTCTTACTCGGATGCCATCGCGTGGCTCAACGAGCACGGCATCCTGCACGAAGCCGAGAATGCAGAAGGAAACACTCTCAAGGATGCTGACGGAAAACCCGTGATGGTCCCGCATGCGATCGGAGATGACATTGCAGAAGCCGCAGAGCGGCAAATGACAGACATAATCGGGAAGCCTGTTTTTTTGTACGGCTTCCCAGCGGAGCTCAAGGCATTCTATATGCAGAAGATGCCTAGGAAGGAAGGCGAGACTGGACCTGTGTTCACGGAGAGCTGCGATTTGCTTATGCCGAACGTGGGTGAGATAGTTGGTAAGTGTTTTGGGATGACACACTCGTCTACGGCTACTAGATATTGAGCAATGATGCAAGGTGGATCAATGAGGATTGCGGACGGCCCGGAGCTGCTGGCAGCCTATGGGCGCGAAGGCATTGACCCCAAACCTTACTACTGGTACACAGATATGCGGAAGTATGGTACATGCCAACACGGTGGATACGGTCTAGGCGTAGAGGTAGGCTCCTATGTAATTCGCCTGCGTGCCGTGGACTCAGCACCCCGTTTTTCTTGTAGCGTCTTCTCGCGTGGATGGCGAACAGATACACTATCAGGGAGTGCTCGTTGTACCCAAGGTATGGTGTTTGTTTTTTCTTTGGAAGCTGTGTTGACGACGCGCAACGTAGATGGCCTGGGCGTGCCACTCCTTAGATTAGTTCATTCACATGGCGAATACCGATATAGCGACTTCTTGTTGATCACACCCAAGGCGCGAAAGTGCGATAGAATAGGGACTTATGTTTCTCAGACGCTTCGAGAGAAAATTTCTCCCCAGTCTGTTCCTTTGCTTTTGATATCCAGCAGCATTTCCATATTCTCGGGTATGCCATCGTAGAACAAATGGAGTTCTACAACTCGGTGAGAAATACGAATGCACTGTTGGAGCCTGCACAGCGTTCATGATAACGGGGACAATGCAAGGTCCCCGCTGCCTCTTCATGCCTTGTAGTTTCTGAGTGAAACAAAACAATTAAAGCAGTGATTTTCCCACGAGTGTTTCACCACCACCACTGGAACTGATGGCCAGTCGCGTCCGACAGCGAAAGCACTATCAAGGTAGCATTGCAAGCTCAGTGCCTGGGCTGTCGGACGTTGTCGACATGGACAACGACGGGGACACAGTCAGCAGTCTCTCAGCCAATGACGACTCCAGGACACCGACGATGTCCCTGTCCTCCCAGTCTCACCGTTCTCCGTACCTTCATCCGTCTCACCATGCGACGGCTTCTACGTCCACCTTTAATGCGCATTCTAATACGCAGTCCGTTTCAGTGCCTTCACAAACACAAACACCGGTTCCTACAGCACCGGGTACTCCCCGTATTGCAGCCTCCCGGAGACCGTCGTCCTTGCGCCATGGTTCAACCGCCGCCCCTCCCGAAGCCAGTCACACAACTAAACGCAGGCCGTCATCTCCGTCTGGTCGTGAAGGAAAGGGGGGTAATCGCAGTGGTCGGGAGCAAAAAATCCGCACGACACCCCGTCTACCCCATGTTCACGACGTTCCCATCGCCCCTGCCACCACTATGTACTGGTCACGTGCTCCTGTGCACGGCGCTCTGCCAATGCACAACACGCGCGCCCATACCGTGACCCTGGTGGATCACGTCGCTTGGATGTTCGGCGGGTGCGACGACAAGGGCTGTTGGAAGGATGTCTACTGTTTTGACACAGGTAAGTGGTTTGCACACCTTTTGGGGTGCTGTGTTTTCCTCAACTTCTGGTTCTGCACAGAAACGATGCATTGGTCACATCCAGATATGTTAGGAGATATACCTCCTCCGTGCCGCGCGCACACAGCGACACTCGTTGATAGAAAAATTGTTATCTTTGGTGGTGGTCAAGGTCCCGTTTACTACGATACAACATACATATTAGACACAACCACTCGCAGGTGGTACGCTCCTAATTTTCCGGCTCAGTCGCAGCCGCAGAAACACATACCAGACCAACAATCACAGTCACAAAACCCTTCCCAAGTTCCAGACCTATATCACCCTGCTCCTAGACGTGCTCACACAGCTGTGCTGTATATGGGCAGGATTTATGTATTTGGTGGGGGAAATGGCTTGACTGCTCTTAATGATCTATGGGCACTTGACGTTTCCCGTTTGGACTCATCTTTGCGTAGTGGTTCTTCCGAAAGTGGCCTAAAATGGAGTCCTATCAAGACCCATGGTGAACCCCCAGCCCCTAGGGGTTATCACACAGCCAATCTTATCGGTAACGTTATGGTCGTCGTGGGTGGCAGCGATGGAAAAGAATGCTTTTCGGATGTGTGGTGTCTAAATCTTGGTACGTAACATCCCCGAAAAAGTTTCTTTTCTTCGGCGTCACTAAATGAACTTCGCTCTTCCCGCCGATTTCCAGACTCGTTGGTGTGGACGCGTGTAAACTTGACCGTGTCGCACCGCCGGTTATCACACACCGCAACCCAGGTCGGGTCTTACCTGTTCATCGTTGGAGGACACGACGGAAACTCTTATAGTTCTGACATTCTGTTCTATAATCTCGGTATGCCCCGTACACCACTTTGTGATTCAGTGCTCTTTTATTGACGAAACTTCAAGTAAACCTCCAGTATGAACCTCGGGCAGTCCGGGGGTCCCCTCCGTCACCTCGCGGATATCACGTCGCCATTGTTGCAGATAGTCGACTGTTTCTCTTTGGTGGGGTAAGTCAAAATCTCAAACGGATCGTTCATTCCCTTCTGATCTCTTCTTGCACCAAGTTCAATGGTCACGATGTTTTTGACGACGTATATACGCTCGACCTGGCGGGGGCAGCCTATCTCCCTCAAGTGATGAGCTTCCGGATCGATGTCTGACATGTTCGCATATCAAATTCAAGTACAAGACACAGCGCGATCTAGCACTTCTACTTTATATTGCCTGTTGTTGCGTGTCATGGTGGTTCGCTGTACGAACAGCCATCTCATTGCCAACTTTCTCCTCTCATCACGAAGTATATTCACGCCTTTTCGCCCCTTTTAGATTATCTGCTCATACTGTAATCCACTTCGCATCCACCATATTCTTTGCATACGTACATACCCGGATAACGCTTTTACGACTTGTTTTCTGTGGCATGGCACGTTATGGGTGGTTTCCACAGGGAGCTCGTTCTTACATCCGGCGGACCACGATCGTCGAGATCTACCGTTACCGTTGTGCTGAGAATGTTATGCTGTATCCATTGCACTTGTGATATTAAGTCCAACGTGAATATGTTACTGAAAGCCATCATAAGGTCCATGGTTCCATTGATTCATACCCATTCCGTTCATTGAACCCATCATGTTCCCCATCCCAACATTACCCATGTTCATTCCCATACCACCCATAGCCATGCTCATACCGTTCATCATCATACCATCACCCATACCTCCCTCCCACATTCCCCCCTCAGCGGCTTCTGGACCTACCCACATTGGTGCACCTGCCATACCATCCATATTCACTCCCATCATGGGCATGTTCATGTTGCCCATGCCCATACCCATCCCTGCCATATTCATATTCATACCCATCCCAGGCCATCCGCCCATCTCCACTGGCATCCCCACTCCCATCGGCATGTTTCCCATTCCCATTGGGCCCATCATTGGCGGGACAGCCAGCTGACTAGCAGGTGCCTGGTTAGGTGCAACGATAGGAGGTCGTCCGTTCCGCACAGCCCCAGGTACGCTCAGGGCAACCCCACCACTAATGGCAACACCGACCCCACCGCTGACGCCTCCGCCACCTGGCATCAGGCCGGCTCGGACAGGTGACTTTGGCCGAAGGGTTTCGATTTCCGAGGTACTCGGTACGACGCACTTTCCGCCTCCTATCGATGTCAACTGTTTGACCGTTTCATCCCAGTTTTCTTTCTCCCACCGCCGCACGTTTTCGGGTACACACACTGCGCGCTCTCGAATGAGTTCCTGGACGCGTTCTTCTTCGCCTTCTGCAAGTAGGGTCACCCAGCCTCGTCGTAGCGACGATCGCGCCCGACCGAATATCTCAAGTCGACGTGTTCCAAGGCAGAAATTCTCGATCAGAGTATACATCTCTGGGGGTTTTCGAGTCGGATCATCATGGTCACCTTCCCATATGATGACGTCGGTGTCTAATCAATACATGAGCACGACACAGTCATATGGGCGAAGAGAACGTCTTGAGCCATACCAACATTGCAATGGACGAACCAGCTATCTGTGGATCGTCGAACAGTACCTTTGATGCCCATCAAACAATGTTGTTTTGTGCGTGTGAGTAAAGAGGTTGTGGGAGGATCTGTCTATAGAGTTGAATGGATCTCGATGCCGCATTGAAAAGATAGATGCATTTTTAAGTACTCACCCCGGGTCCTCGATTTGAGTTCATATTGGTTTTTACCCAGACCACGTCTTCGCACCGCCTGTAATTCCATTTGGCAAGGACCTCTCGGCCTCGTTCCAATCCTTCACCTGCACCGCTTCCGACCCACATAAAGATAAATGAGGGGTCCGCTGCTAGAAATGGTATCGGGAGCTCCTGCAGGTCGTCCCATCCGAACGAAGAGTTGAATGGAGGATCGAGGAGAATCACGTCGAATTTATAGGGGTTAAGAGTTGCCAATTGCTGAAATGGAAGGTATGAAGAGGGTACGGCGTGGTTATCGACAGACTCTTTCTTGAGACCCAATAACCGTTGCTGTTTCGGGTATCTATGTTATGCGATGGACACACGCTAACGGGTGAGCACATGGGAGGGGCAATGACTGGACATTATAAAATGTATGATACATACTCTTCAAAGCGACGTTCTGGTTCTGCACCCAATACCCAGTTCTGAGGCCATTCTCCGCCATCGACATACCTCTGAGAGTAGTCGTTTCGTATAGTTTCTTCTTCGGGGACGTAGTTGCTGTAGCGCGCCAGACGGGCGCGTTTGGCTGGTGGGAGGTCTGGTCGGTGATTTGGTCTAGGTAGAGGTTCTTTAGGCAAATAAGGCGAAGGCGGGGGTGATAGTGATGGCGATGGCAGCGGCGAGGGAATCAATGGCAAGCTCAAGAGATCGGTGGGTGGTGGGGACACCAGCGAGCGCAGCTGTCGTCGGTGGTTCTGCTGGGCCTGTCTTACTCTGGAAATCAGGTTTGCATGGGATTCAAGCAGCTTCTGAGCAGAACTCAGCACATCCGAAGTGTTCTGTGCGACGACAGACATGCTCGGCCAGGCTGCTCGTCGTCGGCGACTGTGGACGAGGTGCGCCTTCCTTTTTGGGCGACTCAACTCTTGCGTTCCACCATGGGCAAGACAACAAAGAAATCGGCGAGAAAGTTTGCATCCAGCGGAAAACTAAAGCAGACGATAGAGGGTAGACGGAAGCACCAGCAGGCCAAGAAAAAGATCCAGGGCAGACGAGGTGCTAAAGGAAAAGGGAAAGGCAAGGAACGAGAAACTGCAGTCGACAATATGCTGCTAGTAGCGAAGAGGAGGAGGAGGAGATCAAGGAACCTAGCAAAAAGGCCAAGGCCAATCCAAAGTGCGTGTGCTCTCGGTATCGATGTAATTATTCGCTGCCAACCTTGAACAGAGTAAAGTCGGTTGATGACTTTCTCGGAGCCAAATTCATGGAAGACGACGACGATTCAGAAGGTGAGGTGAGCATATTCGGCTATGCACGAATGCGTGCCCCACGTTGATGTTCGCAAGGAGGACGAGGAGCAGCCAGATTCTGATGAGGTCGAAGACGAAGAAAGCATCGCAGACGACCAATCGTTTGCTTCCATTGATGATTTGGAAGGTGACTATTTTAACTTCACACTCCTCAGTCGAAGAAAATACCTATATCTTGCATCACAGATGAAGGCACAACACACATCGCAGAATTATCCAAGCTAGCCGAGAAGGATCCAGAGTTTTACAAGTACTTGCAAGAGAATGACAAAGAGTTGTTGGAGTTCAACCCAAATCAGTCAGACGAGGACGAGGACGATGACGACGAGCAAGTCGACCAGGATGGAGACACGCAAATGGATGACGAAAGTTTACCGATACTCACGAACGAAATCTTGCAAAGATGGAAAAAGGCGCTACTAGAGGTTAGTATGAGTCCGTCGGTGCAAAGGGTCAAAGCTGAACATCTGTCAAGCATCGGTCTTTGCGTGCACTGCGAAGGCTTCTCATCGCGTTCCGGTCGGCTGCACATATGAACGAGGAAGACCAGGTCCTTGCGTGGAGTATTGACAGCTCGACTAGTAAGTACTCCTGTGAAGCCGTTCTTGCCACGTAGCTCACGTTTTATCGAAAGTGTATAGGAAGTTAATCACTACGACCCTTCGTTTCACTCCTATCGTTCTGGAACACCATCTCCCATACAAAATTCTCCCAAGTGGAAAATTGTGCGTGGCGAACCTCTTACATTCATCGTTTCACGTGTCACTAAAGCGGTCACTTCCGAATCAGCAAACCACCCACCCAATCTCCAAAGCAGAAGACCATACAGAAGCTCGTTCTCTCATACTTCAATAATATCATTCACCTCATCCCGCAGTTGACCGATAACGAGATGATACAGCTTTCTTTAACAGAGAGTGCCAAAATATTGCCGTACACCATCACCAGCCGGAAGTCAGTCAAGGCATACCTAAAGGTGAGCATCTCCGCACGACTTGGCCCCTTTCACCCAATGGACGTGATTATTTTATTAAAGAGATGCTTGGAGCTTTGGTCCACTGCTGAAGATAGTGTACGCATAGCCGCGTTCCTTGCCATCAGGAAGCTGGCGTCCTCGCATGACGACACGATCCTGGACATCGTACTGAAGGTTGGCCTCTGCTCACGTATGCTTGTCTTGGTTGTTCAAGTCCATTTCACGCGCAGAGCACTTACCTTGAGCTTGTACGCTCGTCAAAGTCAACTAGTGTCCACAAGCTACCCTCTATCAACCTCATGAAAAATTCTGCATCGGAATTGTTCTGCATGGACCACGCAGCTGCATACCAACACGCCTTTGGATATATTCGACAGCTCGCCATACACCTCCGAAACAGCATGAAGACGAAGACGAAGGTGCGTTCGCCACTTGTACCCACGTTCCTCTGACCTGCTCGAACACACATAATCACAGGACGCATATAAACTGGTCTACAACTGGCAATATGTACATTCCGTAGATTTTTGGTCACTTGTGTTAGGGAGGGCATGCAGCTTGGAAACGCAGATCGAGCGGGGACAGGAAAGCGAGCTCAAACCCCTGATATATCCTCTGGTGCAAGTGAGCTTGGGGGCTATCAAGTATGTTTTCCGCATTCCTCCTTTTCTCGGGGTATACATTGAGCTCGGCGTCTAGGCTCGTATCAAATGCACGTTCGTTCCCGTTGCATTTGCATATCATTCGATCCATGCTCCATTTATCACGACACACCAAGACCTTCATCCCTCTCCCTTCATACATAGTACCGATAATCACTTCTGCATTGGCCTTCAAAAAACCGAAACCATCGACACTTCGCCCTTTGGATTTCGATTCGAACATCCGTGTGCCTTCACAGTATCTTAAGACTCGTGTGTACATCGATGGCCTGGTAGAGGAGGGGACTTTCGTTCTCGCCGAGTGGTTAGCGAGTCCGCCCATTCAAGGGAGCATTGCATTCCCAGAGATTGCTTGTTCCCGTTGTTGTCACGCTGCGCAAGGGCCCTTAAGAGTGCGAGATCCGCATCTCAAAGCGCGCTAGGTAAGGAAATTGGGATAGGTAAAGGGGATGGTTGAGCGCACCGAGGAGAGCGCAAAGTGGATAGAACAGAAACGGAAAGGCGTTGGGTTTGCACCAGGGGAGATGGCCGAGGTGGAGAGATGGGAATCGGCACTCAAGGTCAATGAGTCGCCCTTAGCCAAGTACGTGAAGGTCCAACAGAAGGCAAGGGCGAAAAGGAAAACTTTGATTGACAAGGTACGTTACATGCCCTTACCCGACCTGGACCTCCCGTGTATAACAAACGTGTTACGCTCGGTTCGCAGGCGGCCAAAGGCGAAGATGAGATCCTGGACGATTAGATGCCCGTTCGGAGTACCACGCAGCGGAGGCACTACTTGATAGTTAAGTTAGTTTCTCCGTGATGTGGGCCTGTGGCAGAGCGTTTGCTGTAACTCGGGAGGGAGTCTAACTGGAATAAGCATATCCGCGGAACAGGATGCATGGCGTACACCATCATGTGGCCTGGTCACCAGTTCACCATCATATCAACCAACTAGCGAACCTGCTTCGTAATTCCGACCGGACAAACCCGACCTGTCTCGCAGCCAGTAATCTCAGTGACTTTTGGCAGGCAAAGTAACCATGCGGCGAGATAGTCACTAGGGTGGGATCTGGCGAATGTCCGAGAAGAGGCATAATGATACGGCGGGAAGACACCAATCAAACTAACGAGCAGCTGCCGATGATACTAACGCCCGGGGGCTATTGACCAAGCCCATGGGACCCACTTACAGAGAGTGCCATCGGTTGTTCCCAGTCGTCGCGGGTAGCGGGTAGCGGCGTGTGTCAGCCAGCCGTAAGGGGTTACAGCGGTGACAGGCCCTGGCTGACGCCGCACGGTTAGGTTGGGTTATTCGCCGAAGCCACGCGTTCAGGCATCGATTCCTGAGCCAATGTGAGAACACCTGACAACAGAACGCTATTGGAAGTCGATATAATCGTGTGTAAGATCATCCCAACTTGGTCGCCGCGCACAGGAAACTCCATGATCATAGTTGGTTGTTGACGGAGAATTCGGAGACTGCTAGTTCCGGCTCCAGACGTTTTGGTCTTCGACCTTCTTCAACACGGTTGGCTTCGGAATCTCCCGAGTGCCAATATCCAACCGAGTGTCGGCTGCGAGCATCCCAAAATGTCTGGTCACGAGCCTAGGAGAATTTAGTTTTGGTCTTCAAGTCGGTGATCGGCTTCGTCTTAGCACGCGGTAACAACCGAGTGTCAGCCGCAAGCGTCCCAAAACGTTTGGTTAAGAGACTTAGAAATTCGCCAAGGAAAAGATGGGGTGACCGGGAGATTGTGATGACGTTGACACGAGCCGTGCATGGGAACCACAAGAATTTCCCATGGAGCCCACTGCACGGATCAGCTAAGCCAATGCGACGAAAAGAACTCACTGGCAGCAGTTGCAAGTATCGAGAACGGTACCGGATATCACGGGAGCGATCGTGAACAGGAATCTTGGAATTCAAAGACTGACGAAATTATTATTGCTATCTCCAAATCCCAAAGAAAATCTGCCACCACGGTCTTCCGGTTCCTCTAGCACTCCGCTCATATCCTTGGATGAGACGCTCGTAATGTTTAGGCATAGATGCGGGTTGAAGAGTTCTCTTCGATAGAGGGTACTGCTCAATCACGATGTCGAGATACATATCAATCGTCAATCGCTTTTGAATACAATTACTGCAAGGGCAATGAATCCACACCCACCTTCTTCTGGACGTTATTCTCAAGCAGACCTCGAGCTGCCTGGACAGCTTCCGGGGTCAAGTTGGGATGTGACGCAAGTGACTGGAAGAAATTTTTGAGCTGGATGTTAGGCCGAAATGGATCTGTTGGCCATCCAGCTGCGATGTCTCTGAGCTTCCGAGCTGATTTGGAGGCTGACATGGCGACCTTCGAGCTGATCGCCGCGGATATGTTCTGTTCACACCTGGTTGGATGGTGTGGTGAATGAATATTTGAATGTTACTGTGCACACGCTTGGCACACGCCACCTCGCGGACTCGAAAGCTGGGGTCGGCAACCTTCGCGGCAACCCCTGCCCGCTGTTTCTCTGTCAGCACCCACTGACACCTGACCAACAATACTGCGTCCTCCAAGTGCGCTGCGTACCATTGGCCATGGTATGGCTAATTTCCGAGTGTGACTGGATGCTTGCACAGTTCCATTTCGGAAAATATCAAGATATCAAATTTGATGGATGGTTGGCATTTCAACTTCCCAATACTAAAGCTTTCCTCACATCAATATATCTACCACTGGCGTATCGAACTCAGGTAAACGTGTTGTTGCACCTTCCCGTTGGACAGTCACAGGATGGGTGGCCGTAAGATCGGTCGAAATCTGAGGAATATCAATATTCACCTTGCACATCCCCCGCAGGTGCGCTGGATCGGCTGCCGCCTTAAGGACTGATATTGGATAGCTTGCCCTATTGCAAACAGGGCGGAACCCATTAGTTGGTACCTCTTTTTTTCTAATCGGTTCACGCACCACGCAACTCTGGTGGGGTCAATGCATACAATACAATAGGACTCAAGTCAAATTCCCCCAGTAAGCGTATCCGATTGATATCAACTGTTCGGAGGCAATTATTCGCCGGAAAGGAAGCTGGCAGACGGTGACAGGAAGCCGTTGCTTCGTAGTGTTTTTGAAGGGCCTGGGGTTTTTCAAACCAACGAGTCTGTTGCAATTGGTAGGTATTCTTGGAAAAGGTAATACTTACCAACTGGTCATCTAGGGTTCCCGCGAAGCCTGCCACCTACATACCTCACCGAGGACGTGCTCGTGATGCTTGTGTCCGCCGGCTCCACAAACATGGCTGTTTGGTATTGCATATCATGATATGGGGGATCCGGAATGCACCTACGATAATCGATATGGGGGCTACAGACTCTCCCCGAGAACATGTGAGCGACGCAAGCGCTCGGAGCGTATATAAATGATGTGCAAGCACCCCAGATTCAATTCCTTGGACTCAAAAAGTCCTACCGAAATCTTTCAGTTTGGTTTAGGGTATGTTAAGGTTAGGGTTAGGTTCGGTTATTAGGTTCGATGAAGTCGATGATTATTATGTATGTTTGCCTCGACTGGTACAACCAGCTGTATATATATTAGTAGCTTTCAAATACAAAGGTGTAGGTCCAATTCTGGTACACAGCAAGGACGTTCTACTGTAAGTCAGGCAACCCAGGGGACGGCGGGATGCTGTAGTTCCTGTGGTGATGGGGGCGTCTGACATCTCGCACTGCCACGGCCAAACTACAACCGAGGCTGCAGCAAGTACCAGTATTAGACGACCATTTTTCGACAACGTCCACCCCCCCGGGAGTTCGTGAAGCCTCACCGACCCAGCCATGGGATGTTGCTGGCGAGTCAGTTGCGAAGCCCAATGACCAGTACAACAACCGTGGGCAGCCTCCTCAACAACCCAGTGTGGTGACCCAGCAACCTGGATACCACCCAGGCGCTCAAGTCTACGAAAAACCGCCTTTGCTTACACCGACTACACCAGCACCGCCCGCGCCGATCCACCAACCCAATCCTGCACAACCAGTGAATCCTAACACTCCAGGACAGTTTCCGTGGGGTCCCCACGTCCCCGGATCACCTTCTCCACCACCCCAGGGTGGTTTTCAATTTCAGCATGGTATGCCGCCGTCCGCGAATGTTCCCATGATGTCTGGGTTCCCAGCTATGCCGAACGCCGCGTACAATCCCGCCAACGGCCCTGTTCAACACAATCTTAGCGGTTCGGCTGTGTTCTCATCTCCTCCCCTGCACCCGAATCCTACACATGTGCCTCCACGTCATATGTCAACGTCCCCGTCGTTGTCCACCACACTCACCAACAATGCGGGAGAGTTCGGTAAAGTGCTATCGAACGAAGGTAGAATGTCCATCTCTATCGATTTTGGTACGTGCTAGTTCATATGTGACATAAGCTGTGCTCACCAGTCCCCTGTGCTCTTGTACAGGTACCACATTCTCTGGTGTGGTGAGTGCTACCATATAAGGGCGTTGGATCCATCTCTGGCCTGTCGCTCACATACCATGTTTGTCTCAAACCACAGGCCTATGCTTCCTCACGTATACACTCGGGTACTATTCAACAGATCTTACGTTGGCCGGGCTCTTTTGAAACATTCCGCAAAGTGCCGACTTGCTTGCTTTATGACGAGCACGGACAGGTGATGGCGTGGGGGCTCGAGGCCAAGAATGCTAGTCCTATGCCCGGAACTTACCGGTGTGAATGGTGAGCCGTTCCCTTTACCCCATCGGTTTTAACAACATTCATTTACAAATCTGATGTGGCGACTTGGCGATCACCGAATGTGCGAATTCGGCGACTTCGTTTCGTGTACTTTTATGAATATAAAGGTTCAAACTGTTCCTCGAACCGCGTGCCTTGCGTGACGAAAACGCCGTAGACTCCCGTCTGCCACAGTTACCCGTAAGTTGCCGTGATTCTTATTCATAAAAGAGCAGAGGTCACTTAGACGGGAATATTGTTTTTGCCATATCAGCCGGGGAAGACTGCCATAAACTTGATAGTCGACTTCCTCTCCTGTCTATGGGAGTATGCAAAAGAGGAAATTACGCGAGAGATTGGCTCTGTGGCAGATCTGAGTACGTTTGGCATCATGCTAACGTTCCATTTCACTCCGTTCGCTGACCAATCCACATAATTTTCCCATTGACGTCTTCTTTGTTTCGCGCCTGGTTTGCCTACCTCAGACACCGCAGATGTGATCTTGACGTGTCCAGCTGCGTGGGATGCTAAGGGGTGCGATATGATGCGTGCTGCCGCCATAGATGCTGGGCTTGTTCAGTCTGCGCATGCGGGCGACGCAAACTGGCGTGACCGTTTACAGATTATCACGTGGGTATCGGCGTCCCTTTCCTAAGCTTAGAGCTTCCATTCGATCGCGTCTGTGACGCTTCGGAAACTCCCACCAATCGTCACTTAGGCCTGGTCCATTAACTGACGTTTTGCGAACAGGGAGCCGGAAGCCGCTGCGGTTCATTGCGCGCGATTGACAGATTTGCACAAGCTGCGGCCGAGTCAGAATTTCATGATATGCGATGCTGGAGGTGGTACAGTTGTACGTACAGACCACCATTGAGTTGCGAAAATGGTAACTCACACGACCACAACCCTTTCATCCCCAAAAACAATTCGTACCCCGCTCCACGCAAAATGTGAAACGCGGAACCGAATACCTTGTACAAAATCTTAAAACAGGACCTCGCGGTGTACAAAATAACTGGTCAAATGGCGAACCTTGAGATCGCGGAGATGTGCGCGCGGTCGGGGGCAAACTGCGGTTCGCTCTTCCTCGATTTGCGCTTCCGCGAGCTCGTCAGGACGCTTTTGGCCGACCACCCTGCCCATCTGGATCCCGCGAGTTTGGCATACTTCATGCATGCGTTCAGTCAGACGGATAAGTTGGAATTTAAGGGAGAATCTGACGACGGTTCGTATCTATTCTTCTCTCCGCTTTCGCCGACATCAAAGAATTTATCTTGTTTGGAAATTGCCTTGGTGGTGGCCGAACGTTGGCTCCACCGCTGCATCTGGCGCTTGGGTACACTCTTCAGAGACCTACTTCCACTTTACGTGTTTCAACGTGGATGACCCTCATGATCCTTCTGTGGGACTCATCAATGGGGAATTAGCTATACCCGGAACGTTGATTCGCCGGGAAGTTTTTGACCCGGTCGTTAACCAGGTATGCACAACGCTGGGGATGCGACCTCGTCGCCGTTTCGAAGGAGCTTTTGAACTAAAACAAATGCGGGCGTCGTGCAGGTACTTGAATTAATTGAAGATCAATCCAGGAGGGTGGATCAAAGGATTGATGCGCTTTTGCTCGTTGGCGGCTTCGCGGGGAGCGAGTATTTGTTCAAAAAAGTCGAGGTGAGTTAGCCTAGTTTACAGGATGTTTGGCCAAGCGTCGTTGATGTTTCTCATTGTTGCTGTATGTTTCTCTTTGGTGCCAACTTGGGTTCGCAAATTGCCTCTAACTTTGCCCTATGATACGACATGGACGGACCTGGTGACTAGGAGCGCTTCTCCGCGAGGATGAGAGTAATTGCGCGGCCCTCCGATGCGGACACGGCTACGGTTCGAGGTGCCGCTCTGTACGGCCTCTCACGAAAATTGGTAGTATCAACAGTGATCGCTCCACGATCATACATCATGAAGGTGAGGCAGATCTAGTATTTCTATTGATGATGAACTGACATGTGCTTCTCCGGCAATTGTTTTTGCCACTGGCATGTTCACCCTCGTGCTCCGTGTGGGGGAATGAAAATGCTGGGACTCGATGGCGTGATCGTGTTCCTTGACCAATAGGTCAAGCTTCCTGCAGAACCAGAGGACTGGATCAAGCGACCGGCTTACATTAAGGAGAACAGCGCAAGCGTCCCGATTTGCGAGAACAGGTACGTTTTCTGTTCGGTATGTACGGACTGCTGATGGAGCCCTGAGTTTAGGCTGCAGTACCTAGTCGTAAAAGGTGCGATCCTAAGAAAGGGGTAAGTGATCCCTGCGAGGGCAAACTCTGAGCTTTGACTCACCACGCTTCTGGCAGGCAACGCGTGAAGACCAAGTTTTGGTATGTGGTCTAGTTTTTTCCGACCCTTGTCACTGTGCCGCTGATGCTTCTACCCACGCACAGCAAGTTCTCACAGAATGGCCAAGGTAAGTGACGTGACAAGGTTGTAAGGAGGCAGAGGAGCCGTTTGATTTATTAATACCACGTGTGCCCAGACTGGAACTTTGTAGCCGTGCTGTACACGTCGGATACAGATAAGATCATGCGATACACGGATGAGGCAAGTGGTCGCGGCATTTATTCTTGCGGCCGCGTGTCGTTAATTCGGTCCGATTGAACTTCCTGACACAGGGCGAGACGATGGAACTGTGCAAATGGACGGTTGATCTGAGTGCGTTGCCGTCTTTCCGGCAGAATGCGAGCGTACCGCAACCAAACGGATTCTATACCGGTGAGTGTAGCCACGTTGGAGGGTGTCCCATCACGTCACACGGACATAACTTGATGACGTGTTGCGTGCTACCACAGAGTTCGAGCTTGGTCTTGAGATGGACAGTGCAGAAGTGCGAGGAGTGTTATTTTATGAGGGGCAGGAATGGAGTCGCGTCGTGTTTGATTTCTTTAACTGATAGGGTGTGGGGATGTAGTTTCACTTTTAGGATGTTTGGGTTTGGGGTGGATACCGTTTGTGGACTGGTTGTACCTATGAGACTAGTCCAAAAGTGCCTGCCTGGGATGATGACGGCGGGTCATGAGATTTGGGCCCGCGGACTACCATTGCGAGACGGTGACAGATCCTATTGGTGAACCGGCTAATAGATTGTCGGAATGGGGAGAAGAACACTGTAGATGGCGATTAGATGGCCAGGCATGCCATCATGCCACCCACTTGCACCACCATCATATCAGTGTGGCACACTCGGATGTCGATGGATATTATGTAACCCGACGACACCCCGCCTCGGATGACACACCGAGGACCATCGTCCACACTATCAGCTGCTGGGTTTAAATATTAGTGAGGAATCTGAATGATTAGATGCTCTTTGTGGGTCCACAGCAGTCCACAGCAAGTGGTCTTTCTTTTAGTCGCCCGCAAGTTGCTGTGGTTGACAGGACGTGAGGCATTTGGCAGAACGACGGTTAGTAATTTGATGGTGATGATGAATGCGATAATGGACAACTGGCGAGCTTTCGGATATTGCCCTGGTGCCTCGTGCAGCTTAAAGTTCCATTCTTCCATCACCAAGCTGCCCCCTCATATTCGTTTCGGAGCCCCGAGCGCGGGCGCTCCGGAGTATTTTCTTTCTTTCCTTTTTTTCTATTTGGCCTCGTTCTTTTTTTTTCTTTCTTGCAATCGGCCATATCCGTTGCTTATTTTTTTTTTTGCCATCGGGAAAATCCGAAGGACCGATCTGTCAGAAATGGTCGATCGGCCATGCTTGTGAGATCACCGGCACAAAACACTTATAAAGCCGCATTCCGAACAGCAATGGCTGCTACACTAAGCTTCACCCCCCATGAACCCCCCTTCGTATCTCGACGCTGTTCCCACAGAGGCCCTCTATGAGGCCCTCCGACCTGTCACCATACCCCCATCTTCCAAGTACGCCCGCTTCACTAACTGGAGCGGAACATTTTCGTGTTCCCCCCTTGCTGTCTTTGAACCGGAGTCAGAGCATCAGTGCAAGCTTATACTAGAGCTAGCTCGTAGAGAGGGCAAGGTCGTACGTGCCGTCGGCGTCGGTCATAGTCCGAGCGACCTAGCTTGCACAACCGGGTTCATGCTGCGTACCACAAAGCTCGATCGTGTTCTTGAAGTAAGTATATTATTCTGTTTTGTCTTGTTTGTCCACCTCCGACCCCACACTGGTGATTACGGCATATTTGTTTCCTTTCCAAATTTCCCGTCGGCCCCTTCCGTAGTTACTTCCTATTTTTAATTCGAATTGACGCCTTCTTGCATTGCCTAGATAAATGTAGATAAACAATATGTTATCGCTGAAGCAGGCATCACCCTCGAGGCACTGCACGACCATCTTGCCCAACATGGCTTGGCCATGATAAACGTAGGTTCTATCTCGGACCAAACACTCGGCGGAATCGTCACAACCGCCACTCATGGGACTGGCATCAATTATGGCGTTATCTCCACTAACGTCATGGCCCTCACCTTGCTGTTAGCCGACGGATCTCACATATTCTGTTCTCGGACTGAGAGATCGGATCTCTTCGTTGCGTCTATCTGCGGGCTCGGAAGTACCGGCCTCATCTTGAATGTTACCCTTCAGGTCGAACCAGCTTTCCGACTTAGGGAAGTTCGAGAGATGCATAGCTTTCATGACGCTATTCGTCAACTGCATTCGTTCATTCATGCGTCTCAACATGTGCGTCTATGGTGGTATCCAACCGCCGACCGAGTCCGTGTCAGTTCGGCAGATCGTACCGTAGAGGTAAGGGTTCCCCCCTTTTTTTGCTGTCGTATATTGACGGAGTTCTGTTCCCCCGGTATATCAGCCCTGCAAGTCTGTAGGGAACTGGTTCTGGGATAGCTTTCTGGCGTATCATGTCACCCTGTTTCTCCTGTTCGTTTCCAGATATGTCCCTTTGCTCGTTATTTTTGTCGGCCGATTTGCCGCTTGGCTCACCTCGGGGTATGTCGTTGCCATCGACACGAGCCATCGAATATTCAACCTGGAATGTGGCGTGCGTGTTTCCATCCGTTTCTGGCTTAGTGGAAATCAGGTCGTTGATGACCACTCTGTAGTTCCCACAACGTACGACGGAATGGGCAATCCCGTACGAGAACACACAGGCATGTCTTGAAGATCTGCACACCTGGTTGAAGCAAGAAGTGGATGACCCTCGTGGGCTCCGACCCCATTTTCCTATCGAGATCCGGTTCTCAGATAGCGACGACATATGGCTCAGTCCGAGTAGTGGGAGGAAAACGTGCTGGATCGGGATCGTTCAATACAAGTGAGATTTTTCTCCGTGGAACTGCGCCTGCTCCCGTATCATATTACTGAAAACAATATACTGACGATCTATCAGGCCCTACGGTTTCAATGTACCCTATAGAAAACTCTTCGCACATTTTGAGGCTATCCTGGGACAGCATGGTGGTCGACCACATTGGGCGAAAGCCCACGGACTTCGGCCAGATGCATTGCGGCGACTTTATCCCCACTTCGACGATTTCGTGCGAGTGCTGCAGGAGGTAGATCCGAAAGGCATGTTCAGGAACGAATATGTGCAGCGGCACATCTTCGGAAGGGAAGAGAAGGAATTCGATGGAAGGGTCTTTAAACGTTATAAGCCATCTCAGAGGATGTGAGAGGTGCTTGTATGAGGTGGTTTGGGTTAGGACGATGCGTGCATGTGGACTGGCTATGATGCGTTTGTGCGCCGAGCCATATACGGCACATATTCACAGGGCTAAGTGGAGAGGGCAAGGCGTGCGTACGGAGATGCCCGCGGCGGCCAATGGGTTTGGTTTACCGCTGTTGTGGGCGTGCTTTTCACTCACCGTTTGGTTGGAGTGAGAAAACCTCCACGACAGGCAGGCACTGGAGCTGACAGTGTTCGGTTCGGTTATGGTTATAGGTGATCGCTGGTGAGCCATTTACGCACGTACTGCCGCGCCCTTCGGCATGTTTCTCTGCATGTTACATCTATTTTTCACCTTCCATTCACATTTAAGGCTTCGTTCCTCAGCAAAAGTATGATGACACGTACGACGTCCTTATTTTGTTGGTGACGATCCGTTCCATTGCGGCACAGGAGATCGTTCCTCCCTGTCTGCTTTATTTTACTGCTTACACTTAGCATACGAAGATATCCCCTACTAACTAGCATATGCGCCATTCTTCCATACCTGCCCATCTAGGGACTCGTTAACCCTCGGGACTTCTGAATATGCCGCAATTGATTCCTTCTAATCGCTTGCTCAGTAAGTTGGCGTCCGTAGGTACGGTAAGTGTGTACGGGTTACAGTTGATTGCGGCTTTCGGGCCACAGTTCCCTTTCAATCAGAATGTCCATGATTCAAATTATGCCCTCTAGGCTGTCAAGACCGTAAGCGATCCGTATGAAATGTGAAAAATCTTCCTTCGGGTACCCCCGTCCCTCTCGCACGACAACGAACCTGAATCCTTCCCTACGCCAACTTCCCCATTCGGTACCACCGAGTTATGACTTCCTTCCCGTCAGTCCCATACACGTATTTCGACCGACGGTATCTTGTTCCTGAGAAGTCATGACGCGCACCAAGAGGAAGGCTCTGCATTTCACAATCCGAGCTGTTGTTTGATGGATTCACGAACGCGGCGTTCGTACTCCTGCGCACCTGCGGTCACATACTAAGGATATACTACCCCGCAAAATCGACGTACTGCTTTGTTCTCCCGGTATAGCTTACAACAATCAATGTTGGCACCGCTCTCGAGGTTAGGCTCTGAATAAGTGTACAGTGGACGACGGGGAAAAAGACCGGGAAGACGCACCGGCTAGCATCGAAATAACACTCAATATGACCTTTTCGATACTCTGGACGGGTGACCACCGTTCCGAAGCTTGTTCATACATTGTCGGGTCATCACCCGGCGTGTGTAAAATGGAGATACAGACAGTGCCATCGGGGTAAACTGTGGGTTGAATGACGTAGAATCTTTAGTTGTCCTGAGCGTAGGGAGGGGGAGTGGGGAGTAACGTACTGTTGGGGTGGTAGATGGGCGGCTCAAATCGCATCTTGAAAGGCGAGAGAGGGTAATCCGTAGGCTGGAAACAACAACCAACCAAAGTGATGGTCTCTTAGTATTTCTCGACAACACATATCTTGCGACACAAGTAGACGTACGAACGTGAGTTTAGCAACAAAGACACCTCCTTCCTGAATGTGTGGTTGAGTTTATGACACACACAATCACACTGGTCAATTCTGACTCACAAAGGGAGTATCCTTTGGACCACATATCAGTGCCTCCCAAGTGAAGAAATCTGACTCCGATATGGGACCTGCAATCATGGCGACATCAGTGTACTAAATTCGATCCCCGTATACCCACATGCCTGCAGTGAACATCCCATCAGGTGAACCTTGACGATTTGCAGCCAATGAAGTGACCAATCAAGCGTGTGGGTGCGTGAAGGCCCAAGGTGAGCAGATGATCGGGAGAGACAGAGAAGGGAATGGCATGAACACACCTCCGGAGGTGAGTTGCCTGTATTCCGTCATCAGCCTCCGCAGGGCTATCGCGCTGTTACCACCGCTGTTCGATCCTCTGCTATTCATCGTGATCATTGGAGAGTGCAAGGGTGGGGGTAGACGAAAACAAGGCAAAACAAAAGTGACTCCGGTAATCAATTGACGAAACACCCAAGCTTCTTTCTAAAGAACTCGGCCAACGAGCGCTGGCATGATCCGGTAGTGATCTCGGCCAGTCGACTTGTGGCAGCATTCTCGACTTCGAACCACCTTAACCCAACTATGTCCGCACCTCCCAAGGGCCGGGGTACACAAAATAGCCTATTCGTCACGATAGGTATGCCGCTGATATCATCATTGTTAACGTGGTGAACTTCCAAGCGAATATTTGGCTAGTGCAGCAAGATAAGCAACGCCACTCAGGTAAGTTCTTTTATAGTGCGCTCGCCGGAAGTCTTGCCATCAGCAATACCTTGAAATCTCACGCAAAAACCAGATTTTGTCCTTCTGTTACTAAAGCCATACCAGGGCGATCGATCGCAGGAAGGCATACAGGCGTACAATATCCGCGCGCTGTGGCCATGTCATCTCCCTAATACAGGCGCGCAGATCAAGTTGTTAAGCCGGGTCTTTTCCTGCCATGTAATAGTGACGACGGCCCTGTTCAGGTCTGCGTGGATCATGATTGCGACGGGCGCCCAAGAGCTTTACTCACCCCGCAGGGACATGTGTCTCGTGAGTATACATAATCATACATATATGTAATCAGACGATCTGGAAATGCTTCCTCTCTCCCTCTGAATCCTGGATATTTTGGGTGTGGTGCGCGGGACCGAGTTTTGCCGGATGAATGGGGAAAGAAGGCGTAACGTGGACGAACCTAACGATTGATTGTGTCTAGGTTATGCATCGCGGCTGTAAGCGGGTCATGGATACAATCAGGAAGATGCGCGATGTACTTGTTATCCCATACTGCGATGTGATGGAGCCATGCAGTCGGCATCCCGGAATATCCGAGGGAACCCCATCACCTTAAGGGTGCGATAAGGACAGTATATTCACGCATCATCTAAAACGAGACGTGGTACGACGTTCATCGCCATGAGCTGCGAGTACACCGGATCAGTCATGGAAAGTTACGAATGGGGATAACTTTGGCTACACACCTCTTGGAAGAGTAGTTTGGCAGCGTAAGGTATGGTAAGCTTGGCCATCTTTTTCGAGCTCTTGCAGTAAGGACACCACCCATTGTAACCCATCAGTCCGCACTCCTGACACGCGTTCACTTCAAACTTGTCTGACGAAATCATGAGACGCTCGAGTAACAATTGAGTAGCGCCATATCCAATGAGACAGTCGCGCTCCATTTCACCCAACCGTAGACCACCATCCCGGGATCGACCTTCTGTCGGCTGTCGCGTCAATGTCGCACGTGGGCCTCTGTTTCAATGATAGGGTTGGTTAACGGCATGTTATTGGCCGAACCCTGTTCGCTTACCTTGCGCGGGCGTGCATCTTGTCCATCACCATGTGTTCTGTTGACACGGTGAGAAAATTAACCTTGAAATGATATACGTTTTTACGACTGACTGAGTTTCTGTAGGTAAATTGTTAATTGGGCATGTTTCGGAAAGGCAACAAACTAACTTGGTAGAATATGGGCCCAAAGTACACATATGCTTCCATCGGCTCTCCAGTAATACCGCTGGTAAGCATGTCTTTCCCTGCGTAGTTGAAGCCATGCTCAATCAAGATCCGGGACATGTCTTCCACCTACAAAAATGGATTGGACACAATCAAATCACGCACCAATTTTTTTCGGCTTACCTTGGACCCTCCGAACGCTGTGCCGTATTGAAGTTTCCCTGACAATACTCCAGCCTGTCGACTCGCGTGAATTTAACTATTTAAGGGAAACAAAATTGGGAACCCGACCTTTCCAGCCAGCAGCTCGATCATTTTTCCTACTGTCATCCGAGACGGAAAGCCGTGGGGATTCATGATTGTATCTGTACACCAATGTCTTTAGGCTGAGATAGTATGATTTCTGGAGTCACATACCCGGACTGATACCTTGGTCGTTGAAAGGCAGATCCTCCTGGTTCACAATCAGACCACACACACCCTTCTGACCATGACGAGATGAGAATTTGTCGCCCAGTTCCGGCCTCCGAGTCTGCCGGATCAAGACCTTGATTAAGGTCTGGTCGTTTTCGGTATCACTAACCAGCACTTTGTCTATGTAGCCCGCCACGGGAGATTTGTACGTGAGTGGCGTGTTCTTGTATGGAACGGTCGCGGCCTGGCCGGTGAACGTGTTGTCATTTGCATTCGTGGGGGTCTGCTTGTTTACGTAGATGTCCCCCGGGTCCACTCGTTCTCCCACACCGGCCAGGCCGTCCAACTGGATGATGTCGTATTTCTTTTGTGTTGACCCGTTCTCATCCAATGGTGCGTCTGCCAACCGGTCGAATCTGCCCAATTATGCCATCAGTACGGGCAGCGCTCATCGCATTACTAACACGACTCACGTGCCGTTAGGGTACTTGCGAATAAGGGTAGCATTTTTACGCAGCACTTGGCATCTCCCATACCCGCGGTCAAGGCTTGCCTAACGAAGGAAAGCAGATCAGATCGTTCCATTCGAGACGTTATCCACCAGAACGGTACTGGCCTTGTTGAGAATGAGCGCATCCTCAATATCGTAACCAGAATAACTCATGACAGCCACAGTCGCATTCTGACCTGCCGGAAGGCGATCGTAACCAATGAGCTCGATAGTTTTCGTCTTTACCATTGGCTGCTGGGGATAAACTGACAAATAAAGAAGTGTGTCGATCCTGTTGAATTGGTTGTACGCGATTGCGCCTATCGCCTGTTTGCCCATCGCGCATTGGTACGTGTTGCGAGGGGACTGATTGTGGTGAGGATAGGGGATGAGGCCTGCAACTGCCCCCAATACGGTGAAAGGCTCGATCTCCAGATGCGTAGTGGCTGGAACTATGTTTGATTCATACAAGGCAATGTACGAGTCATTTTCCTCATTGACATCAAGGTATTCCACAAGACCATTTCGCAAGAAATCATCAAACGTGAGGGCGCCAGCTTTCAGTCGCTGTAAACATCGGCATAAGGTAAATTAGCGGATCACCAGATTGAATGCAATGCACCACTAACCTGGATGTACTCTGACGTGACTCTGGGACACCCATTTTCAACGATAATTAGGGGCCGGCAGATCCGACCGCCATCGCTCGCGATGTGAACAACGCGGTGGTGATAGTGCACGTAGACGCTCACAAATTCGCTAAATCGGCCCGACCTGCGCAGCCTTCGGAAGTTGGAAACGAACCGTGCAGGATGACGCGTCAAACCAATGATGGTTCCATTTACGTTTACTGCGAAAGTGTGTGGACCATATATCTCCGTACCGGTGGCCATGCTGATATCTTGAGTATTTGAGGTTAGTGCGCTGTTGTTAGGACGTACCATTGGGGCGAAACTCACCTTCCACTCCAAGCATAAATGCTAAACGTATGATAGGCTCTTCTTCTACATCAGTCGTAATATGTGTCATGAGTGCAAGATTCTTGACAAGGCCACAAGCTTCTCCTTCAGGGGTGTCACTGGGACACAGCATGCCCCACTGACTAGGTTGAAGGGCACGAGGACCGCTGACTTTCCGGGTCTTTTCAAACTGAGACGAGATACGAGTCATCATTCCAAGAGCGGATATGAAACTCAGTCTGCTCAAAACGTGCGTGACGCCAGCTCTTTCCATCTTGAATCGCTTAAGTGACCAATTACCGGTGGAAATTGCACGAACAAAACCGGATGTGATATGGTCGCCTTGGAATTGCATCGTGTTGAATGCGTCAAACTCGTTCGTCCGTGATGGCTTCTTGAGAACTTTATCGATGGATGCTTTCAGGTTCGCATTAAAGGTTTTGAACAAATCCTCGAAAAGGAGGGCAAGAAGCTGACCGGCGCTGCCACAAGCGTTGGTGACTGTCGAACGAGAGTAGCGAGAGTGACGCACAGCTCAAGACGTTTATTGCCTACATAGTCACGATCATCGACCATCTTTTCATCGTGCATTGCCATCAAAACACGGCGAGTCATGGTAGCAACGAAGATAGCCTTAGATCGAAAATCCATTCCGGCGACAGGGACGTGGGCCAGAACGATCGTTGCAAGCGCCTCCATGGCTTCTTCCCATGCTGGCCGCTTTGGTCCGACAACTTTACGGTTCACCTTCACCCTGGAACCTATCCATTCTAGTGCCTGGTGGCGAGTGAAGACCCCAAGTTTGGCGGCTTCCTCAAGGTTCGCCGAGAAGGCGGATTTGTATGCTTCTGTGTTACCTGCTGTAAGGAGAAGGATCTCCTTGTCTGATTGAATGCCAAGCGCTTTAAGAGCGATGACTATGGGAACATCATCGTGAACAGAATTGTGGCGCAGATAGATTTTGCCCTTTTTTGTAGCGACGTAGGTCTTAGACTTGAGGCCGCCGTGCGTTGAGCTGCGGCGTAGGACATGAAACACAGATGGCCGACACAATAAATGATCCACTTACGAAGTACAAGAGGCCTGGACAACACCCTTGACAGGGTCCGTTTCCACGATTATTCGGTTCTTGCTCAGTTGTTCCTGGACAAGGATGACCTTTTCCGTGCCTTTGACAACGAAGTAACCGCCTGGGTCAAGAGGACACTCATCCATACGAGCAAGCTGAGCCTCTGACTTGCCGGTCAAAATGCACTTGTTGCTGCGAAGCATGATAGGCAGTCTTCCGATGTTGACGTTAGGCCTCCTCACAACATTTTTTCCACGAGTGTACTGAATGGTAACAAGGATGGGTGCGCTGTAGGTTATGTCTCGAAGACGACATTCATGAGGAGTGATACTCTTGTCGATGGCATCCAAGTCAGTACGATCGGGGAAACCGACATGGATGTCCGTGTATTTGAGCCAGAATCGCGGATCGACGTCGGAAGTGACTTTGTTGTTAGCTTTGACAATGTTTTTAATGTCGACATCGACGAAATAGTTAAACGAATCGATGTGTTGTTTGACAAGACCTTTCACTTTCAAGAAAGCGGGGAGTAGGAGCCATTTGTCCTGTCGGTGATTTGAGTCACCATGTGCGCAACGCTGTCAGGCACTCACCTCTACGTGTTTGATGGGATCTGCGACACCCAAACCGCGCCAGTTTGGACGACTCAAGTCCTCCCAATCCGCGTCTTGGTTGACTGCAGACATGAACGAAATGTTACCGCTGATCAGAGTTCTCGGGTATTGACCTCACTCTCTCGTTACGTAATTGCCGCTCAGATGGCCACCTTTTAGGGGCAAAATCTCGTCCACTGCACCCTACCGCCTTTCCACCATCATGGCCTCGCCGAAAGGCCAGTGTGCAAAATGTGGAAAAGAGTTCAGCATGAACCAGCTGATGCGCTGTTCGCACTGCAAACGTGTTCTCTATTGTGCTTCGGCCCCTCTAAACTTGACCGAGAAACGGAATAGAGCAACGCCTGCCAGTTTTCCCACTGGCGGTCTCACAAAAAGACATGTGCTTCTCCTGCGGATGCTTCGGCGCCTGTAGCAGGGCCTTCGTCGCAGACGGGAAAAGAGGCAGACGCTGTTGTTGGAATTACTATTGCCTGCGAGGCTGACCGCAGGCGAGGATCTGCAATTTTCACGCCAACGATCATCCATCCGTCTCATCCCGTTTGGTCCCAGGGTCAATCTTCGCCGTTGTTTCGGCAGATCGGGTTGCCCATCATCGTGTATAGGGACCACCCTGGCAACCCACTGACCATGATTGGAAACGCTGGCCTTGATAATCAAATCGCAACGTATCTTATGGTTGAACCGAGCACAGGCTTTGCGGGATATGGGTACGTATATTTCTTGTTTCTCAGTCCAAAGACCTGGTGCTCAGAGTCCCAAATTTGCAGGTGGGTGAGAGGAGGCGTAGTCGGCACCGTAAGCCCAGTGCTACGATGTGGTTTGGGATCCTGACTTTCATACGTTACAGGTGATCGTCGTACGACAAGACAAAAAACCTCTCACGTGCGAAGCCATCGAAACCTTATGGATGTACGCTGACTTCATCCTGGATCTGTATGGAGAGGGCTATGGTACACCCGCCCGCCAATTGACTCCACAGAGTTTCCGCCGCTTCTGTAAAGAGTATAAAGAAGGAAGACTCCTCAATGGATATGAAGCATTTGAGGACATGCCTCTTCCACTGTGAAGCTCTGGGTACTTCAGTTTCTCGTCCCCTTGCCAAAAAAGACTGCGCATACTCCCAACATACACATACGGACTCGAGTCTCATCTATTGTACATATAGCATGTATTAGCAATTCCGGACCTCCCTACGTAAGTCTCTCGCTTAGGCTCTGCGGCCCGGAGGGGTATGAATTACCTGTGCTCCGTCTCCATCTGGTGCTTGTCATTTTGCTGCTTTAAGAGTGTTTTCATTGTCACAACCTGGTCAGGGATGGAACATTTCAAACCCTGGTAATTGCAGGGGGTCGGATTCCTGCCTCGAAAGACACTGGCCGTTCATTTTCTCCAGCAACACACAGACTAATCATCTGGACTCAGTTAAGACACGAACGTGTTTATAGCCAAGTTTGCCAAGTTGGGGAGAAAGTTGCACGGGATGGAATCTGGTACACCACCGCTTCAATAACAAGTTCCGCACTGATCATGGATTGAGCGAAGTTCCAGTGCTGAGTAAATCAGCGATTCAGAATGCTAAACTGGGTGAGCTGAGCTTCAAGTTATTGCAGGTTATGCTTCGTGGTAATGCTTCGTACGGGAAAGCCTCCTCCGCTCGAGTCTGCGGCTTCCAAGAAAGATGGGACCGTGCACTAGCTTTACCAGCCAGCCAAAAAATCAAGGTCTACTTCGAAGTGTCCCTAGGGACCCTGGAAGGACACGACTCGGAAGTCATAAGGGTCCATCATCCTGATATCGTGCGCTCAGCCTCGTGTCCACCGTCTAGCGCTCAAGGCTGGCTTCCTTCGCACCTGCCGCTAGGCAACCCTGTACCACCACGTCGTAGGCTCACATTGACTTGCTATCATGTCTATAGCTCAGCCTCTGCGAATCTCATGTACGGCGTTCGAAATCTCTATTCCCCATGACTGACACCGATGAGGCAGACATCGAGTTGCAGAGTGCCAAGGATAATATTGAATTTATCGAGTTAATCCTCCCTGGTTGTCGACGCAGTATTCAACGGCAGGATAAAAACCACTTTCGTGAAGAATTCTCTCAATCTCTGTAAGAGCATCTGTTTGATACGCTTGCCGTTCCTCAAGCCCTTCATACTCGATAGCACCGTTGAAGGCAAAGCCTTCTCTTTATCCGTTCATAAGAAAAAGTGGTATTCTATAGTCATACCAGTCATCAAGGCCGTCCCAATCGACATCGATGAGGTGCTATCTAACTCGCCGGAGCTGAGTGAGTCGGAGGATGAACTAGTCCCTTCCCCTGTGTTCCATCTGAATGCTCGCAGAATTTCACACAGTGCGCAATGGGCTGGACATTACCATTGGTCTCTCACCCAGTAGCACCCCGGTCGTACGTGCAAATGGATGGAGCCTCGAAAGATTCTGATGGAACATCTACAGAACGTAACGCGCGTTGCAAGACAATTCCACGCGTCCGAGCACTGACGTCCTACATCCTACTACAGAAGGACTCCTTGAGGAGTGTCCTCGGTGAGTACGTCCAACCTACCACTGCACAAGTATCTCACACCGCTACGATAGTTTTCGGGTATTAGTGATCGGGCAGGTAATGAGCATTTCGTAGTCGCCACTGAGTTAATTTTGACGATGATATCATTTCAGTCTGGTGTCGGGAAATCCACTCTGATTAGCCAAGCCTTCGGGATCGAACAGGCAGTTGAGTAGCTGAAAACATGCCCACGCTCTTTGTTCATAATATACCCAGATCGCTGAGGATGAGAAGCCGGGAGAAGCTGACATCGAGAAAGAATTCATCTCACCGCAGAACGACCGGTTCGTCTTACATGACAGCAAGGGTTTCGAACCGGCGGAACGCAACAACTATAGCAGTGTGAAGACATTCGTAGAAAACCGTAAACGTCAGCCACATATCAAAGATCAATTGCATGCAGTCTGGTAAGTCGATCCAAGGTGATCATAAAAACCTTGACGGACGGTTATGCCACAGGCTATGCTTCCGAACGCCTCTCGCACCTCATGGCGAACGGCTTGTAGAAAGAAGCGCGGAGAGGACTCTTGCAACAAGATATGGATGCTATCAGAGGCAGTAAGCAGATCGGCACTTTTGTCGCATTCTCCCAAGCTCTTGACTGCCGTTAGTTCCGACCATAGTAGGTATTCACGAAATATGACAGGCTTCTGGTCAGCCTAAAAGTGCAGGGAGTGGCCAACCTTGGCTCAGTTGCGAAAGAAGTACTTAGACCAGCATTGCATCAAGCCCATCCAACAGCTCACTGAGAACTCAAACCTAGCACACATTGCAGTTAGCTGTGGTGGGTTAAGTTTATTTTGACTCTGTTCCATGGTCCGACCGTTGTGCTGTTAGCGGAGGGTGAACATAGGGAGGGGCTTGAAAAATTAATTGAGCTCACCTATGAGAAGGTCACCGCGACTTTTGGGTCCCAGATGGGCACACCATTGCCAGTCTCGGTCGTGACCCAAATGGCGCAAAGAGTCTCGCCAAGATTGAAAATTGAAGGATCGATAGCGTAAGTCCTGCTCACATGTTACCGTATTACGATCTGAAGTCGTGTTCTTGTATAGTATTGGAAAGCAGAGTAAGCAATCGTGTGTGGCTGTAGACTATGCGAAACATTCATACGCACGTTTTGAAGGATATTGGAGGGCACTGACTTCTGGTGCCAATTTTTGGGATCACACAATTCTTGAATGCCTCGCTGTTGTTCACACCGATATCGTGTCTGTCTGGAATTTCAATGACCCATCTCAAGTGAGATAACCCAATCACCACTACAGTGAGCCACAAACTGACGCCTGCCCCGCAGTATCTGTATAGCACTGAATTTCGAGAATTGATGGTAAACTTAGTGGGGACTGTGGATGCATCGACACCCACACCACATCTCCCTCGTGTCGATACTACCAGCAAAATATGCGAGTAAGTACTACTATGCAAACCGCTACTACATCACACTTATGAGAAGCCACACTAAGGCCAGGTCCCCCCCTCCTGGCCACTCTACCTGTAATTCTGCCATTTAAAGCGGGATTGAGCCTTGTACAGTGGGTTTACGAAACCTATCAGCGATTGTGAGTGACACGATATTCAGTATTTTCACCGAGTGACTCCTCCTTAGACCGGACGTGCATCGCAAGTTCATGACTTACATTGTCGATCTGGTACACATCTTGGAGATATTGTTCGCGCTTACCGCCAATAAGAACGAAATAAAGCTTACCCGTGGGGCCATTAGTTTGGCTTTCAACGCATACTATCCATCGGCAATACAGCGTGACGCTCACCAGAATATCAAGACTCGGGACTATAAAATCCCGGGCCGCGATGCCGTCCTCGAGGAAATCGTTTCTTTACTCGGGACGAGCGCAATTGACGACAGTGGCATCTCCAGGGTGCTTGTGAATATTTTACCTGCGGACCTAGAGCGAGACGATGAGTGGCGTACGGTTACTGACAATTCCAAGAAGACCCGTTGAACAGCAGTTATTCAGTCTTGTTCGACCGTTGAGCTACTCCTCGTTTAACTACGAGGTCCGCTATCGCTGTCACCGTCACACTCTGTAATTGTACTATGACATACCCTGGAGTATATACATACGATTTAGCGAATCTACCCAGTCCTTTGCTTCTGTCAGCAAGATCACGGGTGTGAGTACAAGATGGACAAAACCGTGTGGCCAAGGGGTGGCAACCTGTGACATCGGACGCTCCCGACTGAATTCCTGGTTACTCGGTCTTCCAGAACATCAATACTATTCATGACGTACGTCGTAACAGTATTCCTTAAGTACGATGAACGTTCTGTGTTGGCAATGTCGCCAACATCTTTTCTGTCGCGTCCGAATTTCCCAAGGAGAAGATTGCGTTGACCATCGACCTCGACACGCCACGGAAGTGATACGACGAGAACTTTATCAACCAGCTCGTCGCGTTTCGTCGCAAAACTGTCGTCTACGACAGTTGCAATGCTCATATGCAAGTGGGAGACGTGGAGATGATTGTTGATAAGATGGGCAGGGAGTGTAGACGAGGAGAAGGGAAAGTATGTGATAGAGAATCTAAGATTGATTCGTTCTCCCAGACAGCGCAACATAGAGTCTGTCTGTCGCTATGCTTCGACTGATCCGTTGGCCGGTCTGGAGAAAGTGATGGAATTTGGTTGTAAGAAGCCTTCATAGCATTGCACCTGTACTGTGATAATCAAGTTCATCCATTACCCCCACCGTACCCTACAGCACAGTCATCCTCGCGGTTTGCGTATTAGGGCTATGGCCTCAACTACTAAAGTCGGCAGTGTGACTGTAGTAGGCGTACGTAGGTTGGTGTGGGCCATCTGATACTCAATGTGCCTTCCATTGCGACTCAGACAAGGAGAGAATGACTCAAAGGTGTTTATCCTAGGATATGCATGAATACATGGGCCATGATAGAGAAGAGCCGAAATCTCAAAAATCAACTCTAATAGGTAGTTTTCCAAAGTGCAGCCTTAGGTCTTTCCAGTCCAGAGGGACGAAATCCGTCTTCGCGTGAAGGTACAATCGTAACGCTAAAGCAACCGCTGGTGCGACTAGAGCCATCCGTTTACCGTTGCAAGGGCTCGACGTTTTCGTGCAACAAAATCGATCGTAAAGGTGAGAAGACGACGGAAAACATAGTCTACAAACACAAGTACTTCTGCATCGGGTTACGGGGAATAGAAGTATCTGAATGCTAGTTTCCCTTACTAGTAGACTCTGACCACACTGGTAGACAGTACACCGAGTAAATCATACACTCATCACGGTACCATTCCACGATATCGTAGCTGTATACATATATCTCGTCAAGGGATTGAAGTTGACTGTTGCATGAAATACCATAAATGTGCCATCAGGTGTTGGAGTTGCTCCCCCTGGTCCAGTGAGGCCGTCATCCCCTGTTACAAGGAGGGGTGACGATGCTTTTGTGTACGGTCCAGAGATGGAAGGCGCGGTGGCATAAGAAATGTCGTACAGGTCGGTGTTGTAGCAGTTTGAGGAAAATGTGAGCACGTAGCTATAGCCATATGGGCCAATCACTTCAAAGGATGAATACGGAAAACGATCCACTCACGTTCCGTTGTGCAGGATAAGTACAGGTGCCTCGATTAACGGACCATCCTGCGGACCACGGTCGAGGATCTGAACAGAGTTTCCCATCGGTGTAAGTGCATCCGCCTCCATCATCTGCAACATGATCGGCGTGGAGTATTGTCCGTTTGCATTCCCACAAGGACCTCCCCCACCAAGGCTGCTCCCGTCGACTTTGTAAACAATATAGCGTTGGCCATCGACATCCTGAAACCCAGCCGGGTCAATGGCACCACCACCCGCGGTCTGGAAAGCAATGGGCTGTGCCTCTGGTGTGTAGGGACCCACAGCGTTCGTTGAAGTTGCAGCTCCAACGCAGTGCGTGTTTTGCGAGGGAGATTCGGCCGCATAGTCTGCACAAAAGTATGTGAGCATCTAGTACGTCGACGAAAAAGGGTGACCTGTACACATGACAAACGTGCCGTCACCTCGGTCGATAACGTCGGGTGCCCATGTAGAGTTAACGATTGCCCACGGACCAACGTCCGGAAGCGCGTCCGTCCCATTTAGCAGTGTCCACGTCGTTCCATTATCATATGATGTTGCAACCTGTATATTGATGTTCCCTGAATTAGTTGCATATGCATATGTTACATTAGGTGTGACAAGGATGGCCGGGTCTGGGAAGTTCGCGCTGATAACTGGGCCATAAACAGCTGCATGGACGCAGCTGCAACAGATACCCAAGAGAACAGTTAGACTGAGAAGACGTTTTCGAAGGGACATACGTGGTGGTTGTGGTACTTCAAGCTGCTCCACAGTCGTTATAGTGATTCCCGTTGCACTGCAACGGGATAATTTAAGATGCCCGAGCGGTATCACTTCCATCCTGTATCGCGTACTGATGGCGTACTTACATGTCCCAAATTTCCGAGCACCCAGAGAAAGTGTTGGAAGAATAGTTAAACACCAAGCTGGAACCTGCAACGCTGTGTTTGGGCGGCATTTATCGAGCCGAATCTAGGAGTCTGCACAATGTTTTTTTATACTGCTCACTTTCAAATGTGCCTGGTCGTTCCAACTGAGATCGTTTGTACAAGTTTGCCCTTTCTTGAATCTGTGCCCCCAACGAATGTCATCAGGCTCCACCAGAACTGCCATATTGTCATAGCTTCTGGGAGACTCCTTTCCTTCGATGTCCTGGGGCCTTGGTCCGAGTACCTAGTGACATAAACGTCCAGCATGTACATGCTCAATCAGACAGATGGAGGGAAGTCTCCTCCATGCGAGCCTACAGATAGGAGGAAGGATGGGAATTTGGGAGTCGAGACCTAGTCCGATTTTATCAGCCAACAAAAGACCTACATACTTGCTCCATAGTCGGGGGTAGGACAGTAGCGGGCAACTTTGGTGTATACCCCTGCATGCATCAGTGAGTATGTACACGTGCGAGTGAGTCCTCAGAAGAAGCAACGCGGTTTTATCGACCCCAATTTGACTCGGAGGGTGAGTTCCCGCCACGATATTCCGAACCTAAATCATCGTCTTACATAGCGGCTACCCGAAGGAGAGCAGTGCCAGTGTTGGCGCTTCCACTAACGAGCATTTCCACTGCTAGAGATCGCTACAGCTGTTTCTGTCGAACCATTCCATCCGTCCGTCATGGTAGAGCGCTTTTGTACTTGAAATCGGTGTATCGATCTTGCCATTGGCCTCGTGTCAACCTTGTGTTCGCCATTACTGTAAAGGAGCTAGTTGGCGCTTAACTGAGGGGCGTAAAGCTTTAACCTCTGCTTCCACCAGCCGTTTGGCAACCTGTACCACCACGGCATAGGTTCACGTTGACCTCCAATCATGTCTATGCCCCAACCCTTGCGAGTATCTTGTATGGGTTTTCAGACCGTTATTTCCATTGATTCTAACGTCACATGAGACAGACACCGAGTTGCAAGGCCACGGGTGTAATGTTGAGTCCATCGAAGTCATTTTCGACGATCTTCGCCAAAGTATCTCTCGGAAAGGAAAATACCACTTTCGTGAGGATTTCAGTCAACCTCTGTAAGGATTTCTTTTTGGCATATGTACACCCATGCCTTAAACCCTTGGCCTGTATCTAATAGTACAGTCCGAGGCGAGACCATTTCCTTCTCGATTATACATCGAAAGTGGCGCTTTCTACCCAGGAGGGCCCCCGAGGTGATCGAAGTCAATGTTCAAGATATACTATCCAAACTGCCGGCGCAAAGTGAGTCCGATATGCTATTATTTCTTTCTCCTTTCTGTCTAAATAATGTCAGAGTTTCAGACTGTGTGTAACCGGCTGGTCATCACGATTGGTCTGTCACCCAGCAGTGTCTCAGATGTACGTGCGGAGCGGATTTGACCTTGAACGATTTTGATGTAGTATCCGCAGAACGCAGGCCCCAGTCGAGACCCTAATTCCCTACACCCCACTACTGAGGAACTCCTTAACGAATGTCCTCGGTAAGTACGTTTAACTCCCTTCAGCGCAAGTATCTTATACTTTTATGTCAGTTTTCGGATACTGGTGATCGGACAGGTAATGAGCATCTGTAGGTGCCACTCAGATGATATTCAACGAAGATATTTTTGCAGTCCGGTGTTGGGAAGTCTACACTGATTAACAGAGCCTTTGGAATCGATCAAGCAGTTGAGTGACTGTCTACATACGTGCACCCCGACATTGAGGACGAGTCGCCCAGTGCGTCGAAAATTTCGAGCCAGGGAAAGCAGATATCGAGAAGGAACTCATCTCACCGCAAAACGATCGATTCGTCTTGCATGACAGTAAAGGTTTCGAGCCAGCGGATGGCAACAACTGTGAGGATGTGAAGTCATTCATAAACAAACGGAAGGAGCAGGAACATGTCAAAGATCAGCTGCATGCGGTCTGGTAAGTCGTTTCTCAAAATTGAAAAGACCCTAACAAATGGTCCATATTACAGGCTGTGTTTCCGAACACCTCTTGCACGTCATGGAGAAAGGCTTCTGGAAGAGGGTGCAAATACGTTCTTGCAAAAGGATACGAGTGTTCTCCAGAATAGTGAGCCAAGTATTCCCCTTTCCCTCACTTGCTGAGTCTGTTATGAGTTCCGACCATCGTTGTCTTCACGAAATTCGACAAGCTTCTAACCGACATGGCAATACAGAAAAAGGCAGACCCAGACGCAGCCGCAAAAGAGTATCTCCAAGAGCAATGCATTCAGCCCATTCAGGACATTGTTAAAGACGCCAAGTTCTCTTATGTTGCAGTCAGCTGTGGGTTTTGTTTATTTCGACTCTTTCCATGGTTCGATTGTTGTACTATTAGCGGACGTTGGACACGAGCAAGGGCGCAAGCATTTAATCGAACTCACCTACGAGAAGGTCACAGAGACTTTTGGGTCTCAGTTAGGTACACAATCAGCAGTGTCGGTGGTCACTTTGATGGCGCAGAGAACCTTGCCGCATCTGAAGATCGAGGGGTCAATAGCGTCAGTTCTCTCTAGTCGTTCCCGTGTCATGGCCCTAAGCGTTTTGTTCATACAGTGTTGGAAAGCAGAGTAAGCAGTCCTCTAGGGCTTGAAGAACTATTAATTGGAATATCCATACTCCTTTTGAAGGATACTGGAGGACACTGGCTTCTAGTCCCAGTTTCCCAGGCTACACGATTCAGGAATGTCTTGAAGTCATTCACACGGACATTGTGTCTGTCTGGAATTTTCATGACCCATCTCAAGTGAGCATCACTCGACAACCACCGTGGTAACTCGCTGACGCCTTCCTCGTAGTATCTCGGTAGTAAAGAATTTCGAGAACTGATGATCAACATGGTGGGGACAATTGACGAATCTACAACCGGATCTGCCCGTCTCATATGCAGTAACACTTACAACACAATAACCGAGTGAGTGTTGCCTTGCCATTTAGCACTTCAAGACACCTGAAAAGTGCCGCATATGTCAAGGGCTACTGCTCCCCTTGTGCTTTTAGTGCCCGTCATTCTGCCATTCGCCGTAGGCCTCGCTTTTGCACAGTGGGCTTATGAAACCTATCAGCGACTGTGGGTAATATTACATGTTGCATGGTGGTTCCAGTGGCCGACGTTCTCTTCAGGAACAACGTCCACCAAAGGTTCATGGCTTATATTGTCGACCTCATACATGTTTTGGAGATTCTGTTCACGCTCACTGCCAACGACAACCAAAAGGAGCTTACACGCCGAGCCATAAAAATAGCTTTCAACGCATATCACGACTCGGAAATGATGCGCAATGCTCACGCGCAGATCAAGAATTTTGATTATAAGATACCGGGTCGCGACGCCGTCCTCGAGAAGATTGTTTTCTTGGTCAGGATGAGCCGTATTGATGATGTTGACCTCTCCAGGACTCTTGGAAGGATTTCACCGTCGGAACTTGGAACGAGACGAAGAGTGGCATACCAATGCTGACGGTCAATAGGCTAGCTGAGAATCGTTCAACCCTTAGCCGCAAGTTCATTCGAAACGGAATGTTTGGCTGCTTGGTACTGTATAATAGTGTTATACCTGTGCATTTACTGAAGTGTATACCATCACAAACGTCATCCTGATATCGTGTACCTATCAGCCTTGAGTCAGAAGATCTGACGGGCAAGCCTCGTGTCCAAACAAACGCCCAAATTTGCAACCTTCTTCAACCGCCGGCTGCCGGGCAGCCTTGTACCACCACGGTGTAGGCTGAGAGGCTCACGTTGGCCCGCTACCGTGTCCAGAGCCCAACTTCTGCAAGGGGCACAACGGTAGTAGGCAAGCTTGTTATGCGCTCACTGTGCGACTGAGTCCTGATTAGAAGAGGCAACAACGTTGTATTCAGCTCTAGTAAGTTCTCGGTATATACCAAGTCCAATCGTCTTTTTGGCGGCCGTGTCAGAAGGAGGGCGGCTTGGCCCACGTTAGTTTGGGTCTAAAGCTGCCGGTACTGGTGTTGGCGTTTCCTCTCGGCTTGAGTCGACGATTTGCACCGCAGTCTGTTATTTCAACACAGACAGGAGACCTTTGTCGCGCTACTGGACTATCTACACTCTGATCTGTATTGAAGTAGGGAATTACGGGATTATATGCTAGGAGATTGGCATGAAGTGTCAAAGTCGAAGAAGGAAATACGTAGAATAAAACGAAACAGATGAGACAGATTATATGAACTGTCACGCATCATCGGCAAGGGCCGAACCCCTTTCTTCGAGCAGTACGATTATGTAGCCCATCACTCTTGGACTTGCTAATCAGTATATCGATCACGATGTAAGCCTCGTGTTCACCGAGTTGCTAGCCTGGCGCTCGACTGAACGGTATCAAGCCCCACCCTCTGCTTCCACCTGCTGCCTGGCATTGCAACCCTGACATGTCCGTAACCCAGCCTTTGCGGATATCATGTATGGCTTTTGGAACCTCCATTCACAACGCTTCTTACAACGATGAGGCAGATATAGAGCTGCAAAGCGCGAAGAATATTGAATGTATCGAGTTAATCTTCCCCGATTCTCGACGCAGTATTCGACAACAGGGTAAAAACCACTTCCGAGAAGAATTTCCTCAGTCACTGTAGGATGGAGTATCTGCGCCACATGTTCATTCCCTCCTCATACCATTCTTACCCAATAGTGCGGTTCAAGGCGAGGCCTTCTCGTTTTTGGTTCATTGGAAAAAGTGGTATTCTTGGTTAAAGCCAGCTGTCGAGAACGTTCGAATCGATGTCCGTGATATACTTTCCAATTCTCAGGCACAAAGTAAGTCCAAGGTTGGTTGGTCCCTTCTCCTGTGTTCCACCTAAACGGTCACAGAGTTCCAGACAATGCGCGTTAAGCTAGACATCACCATTGGCCTTTCACCCAGTAGTACCTCAGTCGTATGCACATAGTGGATGTAACCTCGAAGGGTTCTGATGAAATATCTGCAGGATGTAGTGCGCGCTCAAGATATTCCTGCGCCTCCGAACACTGATGGCCTACGCTCAACCACTGGGGAACTCCTTGGCCAGTGTCCTCGGTGAGACTGTCCAACCCATTACCGTACAATTATCTGATATCACTGCGCTAGTTTTCGGATCTTGGTAATGGGACAGGTAAGGCGCGTTCACACGTGTTAATCAGATAACTTTTCCGATAGCAATACCTTTGCAGTCGGGAATTGGAAAATCTACACTGATCAATCGAGCGTTTGGAATCGAACAGGCAGTTGAGTAACTGGCTATATACGTACCTTCCAATGTTGATGAAACGTTCAGTCTGCCGAACACTTCGTGCCAGGAGAAGCAGATGTTGAGAAGGAACTCATCTCACCGCAAAACAATCGATTCGTCTTGCATGATAGTAAAGGTTTCGAACCAGGTGACGACGTCAACTATGACAATGTGAGGCGATTCATAGAGAACAGGAAGAATCGAGAACACGTCAAGGATCAGCTGCATGCAGTTTGGTAAGCCGTTTGGGATAATCACAGAGTGCCTGACAAACGGTTAATGTTAAAGGCTGTGTTTCCGGATACCCGCCCCGGATCATGGGGAGAGGCTTCTGGAACAAGGTATGGAGACATTCCTGAAAGGGGGTACGGATATTTTTCGGAACAGTGAGCAAGGTCTGCCTTGTTATCTCGGTTCCAGAATTATCATTATTGTCAGTTCCAGCCATCGTCGTGTTCACGAAATACGATGAGCTTCTGGGTGGCATGAAAATGCAAAAGAAAGCGGACCCTGACACGGCAGCAAAAGAATATCTACAAGAGCATTGCTTCGATCCGATTGCGGAGTTCACCGGAAGCACCGATCTCTCGTTTGTAGCAGTCAGCTGTAGGTTCCGCTTGCTCTAACACTCTTCCGTGGTTCAACCATTACGCTGTTCGCGTTAGCAAAGCCCGGGCTGGAGCAGGGCCACAAGCAGTTAATCAACCTCACCCATCAGAAAGTTACCGAAAGGTTTAGGCTCCAGACAGATACACCATCACCAGTTTCTGTGGTAACCCTAATGGCACAGAGAACGCTGCCGAATTTGAAAATCGAGGGGTCCATAGAGTAAGTTCAGTTCGCTCATTCATTCGTCGTAACCTCAATCCTTTTCTTCAGTGTTGGCAGGCAGAGTAAGCGGTAATTATAGCCAGGAACTGTTGGATTATTCATGCCACTCTTTGAAGGATACTGGAGGACACTGACGTCGAGTGCCAATTTCAAGGATCACACGATTATCGAGTGCCTTGCCGTTATCCATACTGACATCGTGTGCGTGTGGAATTTTAACGATCCGTTTCAAGTGAGTGTCGCCTAGTTACCACTACGATGATCTGTCGACACCTTTCCCGTAGTATCTGTACAGCGATGAATTTCGAAGACTGATGGTGGGGACCACCGATGCAGCCACTCCTGCGTCCCGCAATCTCAGTCGCGTTGATTCCACGAATGCAATATGCGAGTAAGTGCTACTGTGCACAGTGCTGCAACATCACGCTCAGCCAGAGTCACATCTCAAGGGCTGGATCCCCGCTCATGCTCCTTGTGCCTTTGATTCTACCGCTTGAGGCGGGCCTAGGTTTTGTCCAATGGGCTCATAAAATCTATCAGCGGCTGTAGGTGACATTACACCATATTCGGTGGCTCCCATCGGTAATCCTCTCTTCAGACCCAAAGTACACCACAAGTTCATGGCTTATATCGTCGATCTGGTTCACGTCTTGGAGATATTGTTCGCACTCACGGCCAACAACAACGAAAAGAAACTTACACGTGGCGCCATAACTTTGGCTTTTAACGCATACTACTATTCAGAAATGCGACTTTCCGCTCACCAGCGTATAAAGCGCTTTGACTTTAAGGTGCCGGGCCGCGATACCGTTCTCGAGAAGATTATTTCCTTGGTCAGAATGAGCCCTGTTGCCGACAGTGACATTTCCAGGGTGCTTGCAAGCATTCGTCCAGCAGACTTGGAGCGAGACGAGGAGTGGCGTACTAATGCTAGCGGTTAGAAAGCATATTGAAAGCTACAATACTACAAGCATATCAGTCCCCTAGTATTTCTCAGGTCTGTCTAATCACTTCTCATCATTTGTACGATCCTGCTTTCTGTCATCGCTATTGTCTCATCTTGCTTTGTATGACCATCCTATACCCTGTATCCCGATTCCCTACTGGAATACCATGCTGACAGATCTCTTGGGCACTCTGACCGATCCACGGATGCAAGGCTGTAGTGAATTCAGACTGGGTGACTGGAATAAACTGTTCAATTGATATGACATATTACTGTCGCGGCGAACCTTTACATGTGTTCTCACCGCCCAAACTGATTAGTTAGTGAGTTATTTGACAATTGAACAATAACATGCCCTACATAATGGCAACTCAAAATTCTGCCTTGAAAGGCGGCTTCGCAATGCTCGGCACTGGATCACCACAAGTTGGTTCGCACCAGTGCTGTGCTGTGAGGTCAGACGGATAGCTTGATTTGGAAGAAAGATAGGAGCTTACGTTGAGCGTTGCAGCATGCGACGGGTTGGTCGTTTGAGTCCTGCAGTTGTAGCCGTACCAGCAGTCACTTGTTTGAAGAGGTAGTGCATCTAAAAAGGGAGACATGTCAGCGTATTCATGAGCTACAAAAGCCCAGTCGTACGCTTTCGTTTCCACACTATGTACCACTTGTGCAGGTGATCACTCAGGAATCGACAGAGGCACTCCATACAGAGTAAGAATTCATATGGTGTGTTGGTGTGATAGAAGACCTCGCTTATCAGCAAATCGTACGGGTGCTTCCTCCAAACATCATGGAAAGTATCTGCCTCCCTTATGTATCCGGATAGGCGACCCTTCAAGAATGAACGCATGCAATCGGGATTTACATAACCTCGGAGGCATTCCCAGTCTGAACACCTTCAGGACGACTTCGCACTCGTGTGTTCCAATGCTCACCTGTTGGACCCCAAAGAAATTTCCTCAAAAGCTTCGAATGGCAGTGATAACCTATTGTACTCATGAATGAATAAGTGAAGCAGGGAGGAGTAATGCAGAGCTAACATTCGAAGATGTCCACCGGTGCTTGGTCGAGTATAGTTTCCTCCGCTATGTCCTTACGCAGATTCCGACTCAAAAGGACGTCGTCCAGAGCAAGGAAGAGAAAGTCATTCAGACCTTGTGGAATGTCGTACATGTCAGCAGCAGGTTGGGACAGTTTGCCGCTATAAGCGCCCAAAAACATGTCAAGTAGAGACAGATAGCTGCCACCGATTTCTGTACTATTGTAGCAGCTGTGGGATCTGACAGATGTTTCACGCACTGGTAAAGGAATAAGCATTGGAAGCCCACTGGGCCAGGCGGCCAAGGAAGGTATTTAACCTCTTGATCTCTTTGAGCTCGGGGGTGGGTAATGCGTCGAAAAACTGCCGCTGCATTTCTCTGATTCTGTCTTCTGTCTCATTATCATGTCGGTGGCCGGTGGTCGCATGAAGACAAGCCAGTAGGCACATTCTGAGCAAGGCACGTCGAAAGCGGTACGACTCTGCAGCAGAGAGTCGAGTCGTTCGAAATTGATTATTTTTTTCTCTGACGATGAACTTATCAATTGATGTTCTATGTATGTCGTTCGGAAAAGCACCTCCAGCTGAATATGTCTTCGAGCTCTTGGATTTGTGAGGCGATTTTAGCCAGGCCACGAATATCGTCATTCGAAAGAGGGTAGCTGTTTTGAAGTTGATTCTCAGCAAGAAACTCCCGGACAGGCCTATTCTCCAAACAGTTCCTGTTGCATCTGATATAACGGAGCGCATGGGGCAAGGCTGGGCCGAGAAGATTGTTGGCCACCCCTCGATGAGCCAGGGCGGAATGTGCACGATAGACATCGTAGATAGCCTTCGAGGTTAACACCACTGACGTTAGACTTTCGAAGTCCGGTACCCATGTGAGGATGCATTTCACGATGTCAGGTTCAAGTTGGAATGCCATCTATAATCGCCAGTGATGGTGACGATGCATCGAAGTGTGAGGTGTGGTCCACGTGTGTTCATGGCGCTTGTTACAGTAGAACTCCGACTTTCCTCCTCACACCCTCACATCACACACGAAATACTCCGTTTTCATGGCGGGCAATCAGTCAAAGAATCACCGTATACCTGCGGGCTTACTCCCCAATGTCGCCTCGGTGCGTTTTTTTTACTTCTGGGAGTGGCAGTTACTGATCCGCCAGGTATTAGTCGCAAGGGCCATCACAGGCCCCCGTTGGGCGTTCCACATCGTACGTCGGAACATCGAGAAATGCCTCTGGAGGGACGCTCTCCAGGGTGAGGCGATTCTTCTATAGGTCGAAGGAATGTTTCCAAAGTTCCACAATTTCGGATGTATGTGATTTTCGCTGCCTGCTTATCGTGAGGACTCAGCGATCTCGTTGGACAGAGTCGGGAGTTGGAGGTCAATGCTGGGCAAGTTCAGGGGGAATATCTTCCAGAGGTGAGCGGTGTGCCCCTTTCTGTTAACACAAGGACTCGGAGTGACTCAAGTGAATAGATTCAAGGATCAGGTGACAACGCACAACCAGGTCGTATACCAGCTACGATTGGCGGCGACATCGGTGCTGCATTTGATGGCAGGGAGCTAACGTCGCATATCGACGGAGGCACTGTCGATCTCACGGCTTTCAAAGATTTTAATGAAGTCATTACTACTCTTCCCGAGGTAAGCATTTCGCTTGGCCTCCACACAATAATTGCATACATGCGTCAGATCCACCCCTACTTCCACATGGCGCTGGGCATTTTGACGGCCGCCTCTCATGTACGTCTCACTTCTATGTGCATTCCTTATCTCATATAGATATCCATAGTCGCTCTTGAATCAATCGAATCTTGACAAGGAAATGCCCCTCCTGCGTGTGGTCAAGAATGTCTACGAGTTTCTTACGAAAGAAGATAATATCAAGAATATCCAGAGCATGAAGGAAACTGCGGGGAAAATTGCGAGGGTGACAAGTGGTGCGACGCAGTTCATTATAAACTACCCCCAGACGAGGAACTTCTGTATGTCGAGTGAGCTTGTTTATCACATGGAACTGATTTCATGCGTCGTCAGGGGAGAAGTCGAATAAGCAGATAACACACGAAACGGAGACCATCACCGGTGCATACGCCAAGATGCTAGACGTTCTGATGAAACAATCCCGCTGTCCTGCTCCTCGGGATGTTCCGATTGACATCTATCCCGTTCTTGAAGACTTGGATTTAGACTGGATGGCTTGTGCGCAAGGTGCAGGTCTCGTTAGCACCAAGAGATGCCTTGATGGTACTAGAGAAGAGGTCTTGACAGACATTGTCAACTGGATCCATGACGCGGATGGAAGTGCCCCACACATCCTCTGGTTGTATGGGGAAGGTGGCAAGGGAAAATCTGCCATTGCGCAGACCATTGCGCTGTGGTTCAAGAGCGTCGGCGGGACCGGAGCGTGCTTCTGTTTTTCTCTCGACAGACAGGCCGAGCACCGCGAAGAAAAGTTATTCGCGACCGTGGCGCGTGATCTAGCAAACTGTGACCCTGCGTTCCGGCGAGCTTTGGCTGCTGTGATCGCGAAGGATCGTTCCCTCATGTCTACATCCGACTTCACGCTGCAGTGGGAGAAATTCATTTTGGAGCCATTAGCCAAGGCTTCGGTTGCTATGGTTGGCAAGGTGGTAGTAGTTATCGACGCGCTGGACGAGAGTGGTCTGGTACCATCGCGGGTCTTGTCGGTGCTCGCATCAACCCGGACTGCTAACCTGCCTCGTAACCTTCGTGTCCTTGTGACGTCTCGTCCTTTGCCTGGAAGGGAGTTTATCATGGGTCCTGCTCGCATTCCACACGTCAAGTCAATCTCGTTGGACGATGTACCCCCACGGTCTATGGAACGTGATATATGGCGATATGCCATGAAGCAAATTGGCCATCTTCAGGATATTGGCGCCCCGGAAGTCTATATGATTGCTCAGAAGTCAGCTGGTTTTTTTGAGTGGGCTCGTCTGGCCTGCGAATTCATTCAATCCACCAAGCCAGGTTGTACGGTGAAGGAGCGCTTTGACAAGATCGTACGTGATTCAGGGGATGGGCGAACTCTTCTAGATGTCATGTATCGCGCGATCCTGGACGACGTTTTTCAGTCAGGCCAGATCACCTTCGCGAAGTACCATTCTGTGATGCAGCAGGTTCTGCTGACCGTTGGAACCACTGCTTATGGTTGGATTAAACAAGATGCGTAGTTGCTTCCCTCGTGAGGAGGATCGTTATGATGTGGCTGCTGTACTTGCACCCATGGCATTCCTGTTGGGTGGAATCACGGATAGGTCTTCTCCGATTCAACCTTTTCATGCATCATTCTATGACTTCCTCAAAGATTGCGACCGGAGCCATGAATACTTCATCGATATCGATGCATCTGATGAGCACTACCACCTTGCCTTTGCTTCCTTGCAAATTCTTCGCAATGACTTGCATTTCAACATCTGCGCACTGGAAAGTTCCTACACGAGCAACTCTGAGGACCATAATTTGTCTGAGAAGGTCCACAAAAACATCTCATCTCATCTATCCTATTCATGTCGATTCTGGGCCCAACATCTACAAAAGGTTGCCTCTGACCCTGCACTTGCAAGATTTGTCGAGGCCATCCTTGGAAGTGAAAAATTCCTTTTCTGGCTTGAGGCTCTCAGCCTACTTGGTGCATTTGGCAATGCTGCTACAGCCCTTGCATCTGCTGCTGAATGGCTACAGGTAAGCACACCAGATTGGCATTTTGACTTGTGTATCTTATATCTGGTTGAAGGGCCAAGCTGGTTAGTGAGGGCACAGCAACATTAGCAAGAGAAGGGGTGAATTTTGTGCATATCTTTGCTGTTCCAATCTTGCACAGTGCACCACACCTTTACATATCTGCACTGCCATTGGCACCTTCAAACTCTGTGCTTTTTGCAAGGTTTAGATCAAAGTTCTCTCACCTTGCCAGGGTTGTTGAAGGAGGCCTGAATGATTGGCCAGTTGCTCAGCTCACTTTGCTGGGGCACAGTTCTCTAGTTTCTTCAGTGTCCTTCTCCTGTGATGGCAAGAGGATTGCTTCAGGCTCAGATGACAAGACTATTAGGATCTGGGATGCTGTGAGAGGTGTACAAATTGGCAGCCCTCTGCAAGGACACAAATCAGTCCATTCAGTTGCATTCTCCCATGATGGAAGGTGGATTGTGACAGGTGGAGATGACAACATTGTGAGCATTTGGGATATTGAGAGTGGTGCAGTTATCATTTGCTTTGAGGGGCATCATTCCAGGGTCCGTTCAGTTGCATTCTCTTCTGATGCCAAGAGGATTGTATCAGGCTCAGATGACTGCACAGTGAAGATTTGGGGTGTTGAAAGTTGCAGGCAGATTGGTGACCTAAGAGGGCATGCTTTACGTGTCCGCTCAGTTGCATTTTCTCATGATGACAAAACAATTATCTCAGGCTCTGTTGACACAACTGTCAGGGTCTGGCATGTTGAGAGTGGCATGTGGGTTCACAGTAAGCTTTGTGGGCATAGACAACCAGTTTTTTCAGTTGCATTCTCTTATGATGACAAGAGAATTGTCTCAGGTTCTGAGGATAAGACAATCAAAATCTGGGATGCTATGGAGAAAGTGCAGATTGGCACCATTAATGGGCATGATGCATTGGTTTATTCTGTTTCATTTTCCCCTGATGGGAGAAGAATTGTATCAAGCTCATCAGACAAGACAGTGAGGCTCTGGGATGTTGAGAGTAGGTTGCAGATAGGCAGTAGCCTGCAGGGCCATACAACTATTGTCCGTTCAGTTGCATTCTCCCCTGATGGGATGAGAGTTGTCTCTGGTTCACAAGACAAGACTGTGAGGGTCTGGGATGGTGAGAGAGGGGAAGTTTGTAGTTCTTCTCAGGATGCTTCACAATTCTTCTCTGTTGCATTCTCTTGTGATGGCAGTAAAATTGTCTCTGGTTCAGAGGATAAGACAGTCAGGATCTGGGATGTTGAAAGTGGCAAGCAGATTGGAAGCCCCCTTGTTGGACATAGTTCTCAGGTTTGCTCAGTAGCATGCTCCCATCATGGGAACATGATTGTTTCAGGATCACATGACAATACACTGAGGGTCTGGCATGCTGAGGGTGGTGTGTGGGTTGATAGCATATTTCATGGACATGAAGGACCAGTCTTTTCAGTTACATTCTCCCAAGATGACAAGAGGATTGTCTCAGGTTCTGAGGATATGACAGTTAGAATCTGGGATGCTAAGGGTGGGGTGCATATAGGGAGCTATTTCCAGGGCCACACTTCTTCTGTGTTCTCAGTTGCCTTCTCTCCTGATTGCAAGAGGGTTGTCTCTGGTTCAAATGACAAGACTATCAGGGTCTGGAATGTTGAGAGAGGTGTACAAATTGGAGCCCCACTCCAGGGGCACAAATCATCGGTGCATTCTGTTGCCTTCTCCCATGATGGCACAAGAATTGTGTCTGGTTCATATGATAAGACAGTGAGGGTGTGGGATGCTGAAATAGGTGTGCAGCTTGGTGTCCCTTTGGAGGGGCATAGTTCATGGGTCCACTCTGTTGCATTCTCACCTGATGGGAAGTGGATTGTGTCAGGTTCAGATGACAAGACTGTGAGGGTCTGGGACACTGAGGAAAGTGTAGAAATAGGCAGTCCATTGCAAGGGCATGCTTCTTGGGTTAACTCTGTTGCAGTTTCACCTGATGGAAAGACAATTGCCTCAGGATCAAATGACAAGACTGTGAGACTTTGGAATGCTCAGCATTACATGGACATGATTAGGACCACTAACAGATCCAAACCAGGTGAGTAGTGTCTGATATAATGTTCTGCCTTGTTCTCAAAGATCTTCAAAATTCTGCAGTATATCCTATTGTCCTTTCCAGTTCACAATCACATGCACTACATGACAGCAAACAGATTCTGGATGATCTTCCAAGGATGGTATCACAGCCAGTCACACTTGGGGAAGATGGCTGGATTAGGGGTCCAGCAGGTAGATTGCTTCTGTGGATACCACCCATGTTGCAAGGCCCATTTTACTCAATGTGGACCACAAAAGTAATTCCCACTGGTTGCATAGTGTTAGACTTGAGCAAGATGGTTCATGGGAAAATGTGGCAGGAATGCTTTAAATCTGCTGCCTAGCATTGATTACCAATTCCATGGCTGTGTTTGATGATGCATGTACAGTACAATACAAGAATATGATGAAATCTCATTTAGATTCAGCTTTTTTTTAGGAAGTGAACAACACCTAATCAAGTCCTGTGTGTAAGGCTTGACCCCTTGGACCTGGGTTCAAAGTGCCAGCAAAAATAGAGGGCAGGGAAACTCTCCATCTAGTCAATCTAGATTTGGGGTCATGTCCATGAGGATTGCAGGTGTTGGGAAAATGATAGCATAGTTTCCTCAGTGGTGAGAGGAAGGATACCTAACTGTGCATGTGCACCCTTGTGGATGTAGGGGTATATAGGCTGGTAGCCAAATTCTGTTATATGTATGTAGGTGATTGTCATATCCATGACACTGAACCACCTCTAAAATCTCTCTAAGGACCCTCTAGCAGGCCTAGGGTCTTTCTGACACCTTGCCAGCCTATACTGAGTCCCTCTGATGCATATTGTATCCCATTGACTTGGCCCAAGCCTGCTGAAGGTGGCTTAGTGTCTTGACAATGCATTCAAACCAGTCCCAAGTTGCTCTGGTTGCCCTAGCAATCCTCTAACAGTTCTGCTGGCCTAGATCCACACTTGACCTATTCCAACTACCCTTGTCCCTGACTGAACCATACTGCATTGACCCACATTGCTATACTGCAAGGTAACCTGACTTCCAGCTTTACTTTGATTGCTGTTCTGGCTTACATATGTACTTACATAATTCTTTGATCACTGGCATTTAGGATCTTTGGGCTGTGTGCCCATACCTTTGCTCTTGGTATCCTGACCCAGCAAGCACTGCTCTCTGTACTTAGACTCCAGTATGTAACCTTGTATGTAGTATTGTAGATGCCTCAGTTTGTACAGTGGCTCAAAAAAGTGACCCAATGTTGGGTGATTTTGGAAAGATTTGAGATTTATGAGAGAACCCATAGGAATTAGTTCAAACTCTTGAAGGGCCCCAAGTAGCACTAATCATTGCCTTGACAACATGGGTTTGTTCATGTAATTTGGTGGCCATTGCACTGAGATGTAACCATTTTGAAAATGGTATGTCATTGGGACACTTTTTTTGAGCATGATGTTGTCAGTCATTATTTAGTGAATAACATAAGGATTTGATGGCTTCTGAAGGATGTTGTGCTTTAACCTTGCCTGTGTTACAATATGCACACTTTCCCTTTTTTCTCTTCTTCCTTTTCATCTTATCTAATCTCTTGTCTTATGTATCTTATCTCTTTGGACTCAGTCCAGACTCCAGTCTAGACCTTGCCTCACTGTTACCATGTGCCTTCCTTCTATTATGTTCCACTCCACTATGATGTCATGGACCTCATGTATGCCTCGCAGTTACCTTGTGTACCATACTATAAGTACTGTTGCTCAATCCCTAGACTAGCTCCAAGGTAGTTCACTTGTGTCTACAAGTCCTAAAGCTCCTGCTTCTAAAGCTGTCTCCTACCCTTTCCTCCTTCTTTCTATTGGTTCTTGGTGTGAGCCTACAACAAACCCTGTTGTTTAGGTCTTGTCATACTTGAACTAGCTTCCTTCTCATTGTACCCTCACACCTGCTTGTCATTTCCATCATTCCTTGCTTCTTTCAAGAAGGTTCATGGGTGTACTCACCAAGTCCCCCAGCCTCTGAACCAGACCCAAACCTTTTTGAACCCTTCATCCCTGACCACCACTTGCCCCCTCTGCTCTTCAACTCTCTTACCTACCCCTTACCCCCACCCCCTTCCTGTCCCTTCTCTGTCAAGTCCATCTATCTCTGTTCTCTACCTGCCAAAACCCAGCACCCCTGTTACAACCTCTGCCCTCATCAAATGTTGAAATGTCCTGAATGCTATGGACAACATCTAGGACCAGATCACTGATCTACAACATGCCCTCAACATGCTAAGGTAGGAAAATCAAAGACTAAACTAGGATCTAGGTGCTGCTCAGGAAACTATCACCACAATTGAAGGGCAACATAATCAATGGAATGCCCTCCCTGCCAATGTCATCCAGAGGCAGATAGAGGTGATGGCTGATCCAGGCCAGTATGCTGGAGATCATGCAAAGTTCTCTGAGTGGTGGGTGAAAATGAAGTATGGGTTGCACCAACACAATCAAACCCTTAAAAATTCTGCTTTCAGTCATCCCTGTGCTGTTTCCCCCACCCATACCTGACATGTTCTGCAACTAATTAGTACTGAGAATGCTAAAAAAGCCATGATGGTTAATCTGGCACTGTAAAACATGACCAACAATCCAATCACCTCTTATCTGGTGGGTTTCCACCTCAGGGGTGCTGGGTTGAGGGCTAGGGTGGACTAAAACTCTTCATTACAGTCCAGGTGCCCTGGGGGGGATAGTCCACTGAACTATTAGGAGCATGATTCCATCACTCCATCTAGCCCTGAGTATTACCTATGGTCTTATATAACCAAATCACCCATTCTCAGTCATCCACAGTCAGCTGAGAGCACAGTCTAGCCATGCTTCCCATGCCACCTGAAGTGCACAGGAACGTCTTGTCTCACTCCAACATTGAAACTAGTTGCACTGTGGTGAAAATGCACTGGTTAAAAGGTGTTTTGTTTGTTCATCATTTCCAGCATTCTCAGTACTGATTGGTTGTAGAACAGGTCAGGTATGGGTGGGGGAAACAGCACAGGGATGACTGAAAGCAGATTTTTCAAGGGTTTGATCATGTTGGGCATATATCCTGATGACATTACTGTAGTGGGCATCAATATTTATGGGGATTACTCTGAGAAAATGGCCCAGATGGACCAGGAGGATGTTTTCATGAGTTGGGGTAGAAGAGGGAGCCTTGATGGACCCAATTCATTGTTTGGCATTGTTTGTATGATGACAAATCATCAAATAGACCATGTAATATACCATGTAAACATTAGTAAGCACCTCACAGCATTTTAAACTTTGTTAAACTCAAAACTATGTAATCAAAACTTTAAGTCAAAAAACTGTCTGCATGACATGTCATTTTCAAATGGCTGCTATTCTATCAATTCCTATCCAAATCACTTGATTCATGGACCAATAGAAAGCCAAGAGTAAGTACCTTATTTCGTACACTCATGGTTTAGGCTAGGGTTAGGGGTTATTGCATTTAGTCATAACTAATATAAAACATACAAATGTGCAGACAGTTTTTTGAGCCACTGCAAGTGTTTTGACTTCCAAGGGAACCACCACAAGCAAAATTGCCCTCTCATCAAGGGCAAGGGTCACACTAGACCCAACATATGAGAGGTTACCTGGGAAGCCCAAGAAACAGCTCTTCACCAGATGTCATTTGAAGAAATGCAGGCCTTCCTTCTATGACAAGCAGGTCAACAAGATGAAGGTCCAGGGAAAAGAGTTTGGCCAGTAGAGGATTGGATCTCCACTGGCTATGTTTACAATAAGTTCTCTGCTTTAGGTGTTGATGATGTTTCTACTGAGCAGGATATATTTATCTTGGAGACTACTGTACTGTCAAGATCACACAACACCCCTGACTTCCTCTTAGGGCAGAGTAGGAGTGGGTTGGGCTGCAGAGTACAGTGGTCAAAGTCCAAAGTGAATCTGACCACTGGGTGGCAAGATATGCAATAAACAATGAGCAGAGGGGTATGGAGGAAAGTTTTGGAGGCAGAGGTTGGAGTTGGAGGTCAGAGGTTGGATGAGAGGGTGTTGGGTTCAGCAAGTGTGCTGCCCCCTTGTGCGAGCTTCGGCCCTCATATTTCAGAGCTAGAGTGGACTCAGAGGGAGTGGAGGTGAAACTCCAGAGGGAACTCAGTGGAAGTTGGAAGTGGGGACCTTATTTGATATTTGTACTGATTAGATTGGAGTACTATGTGGCCTTATATACGATGTAGGTCAAGGGCAGTGCAGTGTAGAATGCAAACCAATAAGCATATAACAGGTTAGTAGTCCCTCTGACACAAGGGATAGAGGATAGGGATGACAGGGAACCTCAACTGAGACAAGGAAACTACTACAACAAGGGAGAGAGGGTGAATATCAAAGGAGCAGAAGAATGGAGAAAAACTGACACAAGGGTGGAACCCTATCTGGAATGCAGGGCTGCAAGTCTGACAGCCCACTGAGCCAACCAAGGCCTTGGAGGAGGCACAGATGAAGGTCTGGCCCCCACATGACCAGCCTGAGGGCAGAGTTGAGCAGAGTTGGTCAGAACATGGACAGGGGACCTTGGAGAGGTGTGGAGATGTGTTGGGAGGGTTGGAAGAGTGTGGGAATGCATCAGAAGAGGGCAGAGAAGTGTGGGAACATGTCAGAAGAGGGCAGAGTAGGTGTTAGGGGCTTATGTCAGTGTCATGGTCATGACAGTATCCCCCCCTTAGGGCCTGAACCCCTGAAGGCCATAGTGAAGCTACAATGGAGGTGAGTAAGGTCCAGGTTTGTGAGGATAGCAAGCATGGTAAGGAGCCAATGACTCAGAGGCATGTTCTAACTCTGTTTCCAGCACCCAAGAGGTCTCATCATCAGTGTTCTCATAGCCCACCCAGCAGACTAGATACAGTAACTGACAATGGTGGTGGCAGTGATCCACCTTTGAGTTGAGGATCTCTGAAATCCTGTACTCAAGGTCACCATCCACCTCAACAGGTGGAGGCAGAGGTTGGTGCTGATCAGGGAAGGGGTTCAGAGTAGCAGGTTCTAACTGCAACATGTGAAAGACAGGGTGGATGGCCTGCATTGCATCAGGTAAGCAGAGGGTGACAGAGTGTGTACCAGGCCTAGCTATGATAGCATAGGGGCCCAAGTTCTGCAGAAAGCTCCACAACATAGTTATGAGCCTTTGGAGAGGTGAGATCATGGTCAGAGTAAACCAACAAGTTTGGGTGGTATCCCTTATTAGCAAAAAAGGGAGAGACTCCAGTAGTAGCACTTGGCACATTATTACAAGCAAACTCTGCTAGTGGGAGTGACTCCAACCAGTTGTCTTGCTGATAGTTACAGTAGGTGTGGAGATACTGCTCAAGGGTCTGATTCATGCACTCTGTTTGGCCATCAGCCTTCCAGGTGGTAGCCCAATGTAAAATGAAGGCACATATCTAATGCCTTTCTGAGGGAGTGGAAGAAGTGTGACATGAATTCTGGACCCCTGTTGGAGGTGACATGAACAGGTACTCCATGCTTGGAAAAGACATGGGTAAGGAAGAGTTTTGCCAGGTCAGTGGAGGTGACAGAGTCATGGGTTGGAATGAACACTGTCTGTTTAGAAAGGCAGTCTACAACAACCAAGATGGTGGAGTAGCCTGCAGAGTTGGGGAGATGCTTGATGGAATTCATGGAGATGGAGTTCCATGGCTTCTTGGAGATGGGAAGCTACTTCAGTGGGCCAAAGGGGTGGTGATGTGGGACCTTGCTATGACCATGAGTGGTGCAGGACCTGACATAGTTCTTTACATCAGTGCAGAGGTTAGGCCATACATACTCATGGAAAACAAGCTCTATGGTGCAGCTCTGCCCAAAGTGACCCACAAGCAGATGGTCATGTTTAAACTGAAACACTTGGAGGTGGAGGCCATCAATGTTGGGGACAAAGATGTAGCCATCAAAGCAGAGGAGACCCTCATGGTCTAATTGCCAGTGGAGGTCTGTTGGAGTTAAGAGGTGGGAAGCAGAGACAGGGTCAGAGGGCAGTGTGGAGATGATGTTGGCATGGAGCTGCTCAACATCAAAGATCATGGTAGCTCAGTGCACAGGGGCCAAGAGGTGGGTAGTGCAGAGGGACAAAGTGAACTGCTCCTGGGTAAACACAGGGCAGAGGTTATGAGGGTTTACCTGTGTGTAGTCCTTATTGTAGAAATATCTGTAGGCTACCTCAGTAGTGAACAAACTACTGAGATATTAGATATACCTGTAGGCTACTACAGGATGTCAGTATGGTAGAATACTTGTAATATGAATGGACTTACCCTCAGTAGTGAACAAACTACTGAGGGAATACTAGTAGAAAATACTACAAGTATGTGCGCTATTTCAGCTTATGTAATCAGCCAAAGCATCGCACAGTGGTCAAGTACCACAGGGGCACTTTATGTTCCAACACTTATCCCCCTCTTTTGGGTGAACATCCCAGTGGCAGGTAAGTGCATTGGGCTTGGCTTCAAGGTGGCCAGGGCAAAAACAGATGGTTAGATTGAACTGGGAGATGTACTCCAACCAATGAGCCTGATGGTGGGTTAGGACCTTAGAGGTGGAGAAATACTCCAAGTTTTTATGGTCAGTCACCATGTCAGCAGGGGTGGCAGAGCCTTCCAAGTAGTGTCACCAGTGGTGGAAGGCCTCAAAAATTGCCAACAACTCCTTATCATAAGTATCATAGTTGAGCTCCAGAGCAGTGAGTGTGTGGGAGTAAAAAGCAACTGGGCAGGGTTCACCATCAGAGCAGGTAATTGAGAGGATACCTGCAATGGCATAGTCTGATGTGTCAGTCTCAACTGTGACAGGGGCATCAAGCACCCAGTGAGTAAGGGTTGGAGCAGAGGTGAAGGCAGTCTTAAGGTGGAGGAAAGTGGAGTGGCACTCTTCAGAGAAGCTCCAAGGAGCACCCTTCTGATGTGAGTCAAAGTGTGGAAAGCTGGTGAAAACCAAACAAATCCAACACCAAAGACAAATGTGAGCAAGTGGTGGTTTACCTCTGCAGAACCTGGAGGGCAGAAGAAATCTAATGTGGGGTGGGGACTTCAAGTGGAGTGCTCCTAGTGCAAGTCAATGACAAGTTATGCAGGAGCAGATGAGCAAGTGATGACTAGTCAGGGGATGCTGAATGGAGTGAAGGTATTCAGCCAAAAGGACTCCTAGCACAAGTTGATGATGAGTTACACAGGAGGGGACAGATGGATGATGACTGGGAGAGGGATGCTGAGTAGAGTGATGAGCTTCAATAGGACATGCTCCTGGCACAAGTCATTGATGAATCATGCAGGAGTGGGAGGATGATTAAGCAAGACTGCTGACTAAGTGGGGATAAAGCTTCAGATAAAGAATGGAGGCAGATAGACCCTTAATGGAGCCTCAACTACCAAGTGTGATGAATGGTGACAGATAGACTCTTTTGAATGAGCCTCAACTGTTGATGACAAGTTATGCCTGAGATGAACTGACTGCTAAGTGACTTCTGATTGCTTCTTGGGTTGTAGCTAATTACATGGGGGTTTATATACTGTGGGGGGAGTGCAGCCTATGACAAATGAGGCACAAACACTTGGTGAGTAAATGAGTAAGGACTGAGTAATCATGATGAGTAAGTGAGAAATGAAAAGTAAGCAAGCAAAGAGGATTGGTAAGTATTGGCAATGAGCAAGTCAAGGACAATCAAAATATCACAGAATGAGTCAAATGGAGTCAGAAACTGAGTAAGCACACTGATATCACATTAGGGGGTGGTGATGCAAGTCAGATCTCAGCAGAGACATCACTAGATCCAAAGATGGCATGACAGATGGACAGTGTTTCCAGATAGGCAAGTATTGATTCCAGAATTGAAGGGCATGAGTCAGGTGTCAAAGGGCTAGGGTGTTGGGGGTCTGTGGGGCAACAGGAGCATAAGCAATCATGTCTCCCACCCTTCCATCCTCTCAGTGAAGTTAACAAAAGCTTCATGAATGGGGCTCTGATGGAAGAGGAGAAGGGGGGATGTCTTCTGCTGGATCTTGCAGTAAGAGGGCAAGATGCACATCATACTCATCATGAATGTGATCAGGGAGGCTGGAGAACAGTAGATTATGCTGCAGCTGTCACAATGTGGGGAGAATGATGGATGAGATTGGAATAAAGATGGTGCAGTGAGCAGCAAGGAATGATCCATATGCTTCATCAAGTGGGGAGACCTGTCATATCCATGACTCTCAGACTCAATCCTGGTCCAGTCTGGACCCCTAGCCCCTAACTCTGGTCAAGTCTGGTCCTAGTCCAGCCTAGAAAACCTAACTCTGGCCTAGAGAACACAACTCTGGTACTAGATAACCCAACTCTGGCCTAAATAACTCAAGTCTGATATTTTGCCCCTATCTCTGGTCCATTCTGGCCTCCTGGCCTTGTGCTGTTCCACCCCAGTCCTCCCAGGTTCATGTCTGGTGTGAGTTAAAGTGTGGTTCAGTGGTAAAAACCAACCAAAACCAACACAAAAGACAAAAAGAGTGAGTGGTGGTGTGCCTATGCAGTACCTAGATGGTAGAACCTTTGATTTGGGTGGGTTTTTGCAAGCTACAACACTCAAAGATGAGTGCTGAGGA